TATCTATCTATCTATCTATCTATCTATCTATCTATCTATCTATCTATTAGCGATGATTAATAAATGAGTTTATTAAAATATCTGGAATAGAATTTTCACAAATGACTAGATCTATTGATTTAAATGGTGTTTACTTTGCAGAGACTGTTTTTTCCCGCAACAAAATTCAAATAAAAAATGGAACGACAACCTTAAGGCCATGGATAATGTGTTTCCTCGGGGACAAATAGCCTTTTAAGTATAATGCTTTACTTCCACTGAAATGTGAATCTAGCATTATGGCACCATACACTCTGCTATTATTGCTAATGTGAAGAGGTACTCTAGAATCCACTTCACTAAGCTCTATACCTCACTGCACTCTCATGTATATTTATATTAACCCTTTGTAATTGTCATATTCAACATAGAATATGTTGTATGTTACATCCTTGAGTTTAAACCCACCTCAATAACATTTAGAGTAATGTTGTTGTTATGGGGTTTTATTCAAAGAAGCCTGCTGTTACGACTACATTTCCAACATAATTACGCAACCCCAATAAAAAATGTTTAAAAAAACAAACAAAAGAAAACAAGCCAAGTCAGAAAAACATGTACAATCACGTTTGGACAAGACATAGGTTAACAAAACACATTTAGTCTCATTATTGACTGCCTGAAGAAGGTATGTTACAACCTGTGAGTTTCCTCCTTTCCTTCCGTGCTTCAAGCACTCAAAATTAGTTCAATTTGAGTAGCATCTGCTCTGTGGGATCTCTGAGATATGGGCAGTGACAATGGTCCTCTGGAACAAGGCTCTTTCCTTCTCCTAATTGCGGCCACATGTGCGGTTGGAAAAAGCCCCCCTGTCTGCAGCACTATAGAACTGGAGCACATCCAGACTCGCCCACACAGTCACCGAGCGAGCACAGCCAGCAGCAAACACCCTCTAATTGCAAAGAGTGGAGCCCCTGGTTGGAGTGCAGGCAGGGAGTGTGTGCCAGGATTCTGTGTTCTAACTGAAGGACAGCTAGTGCTTTCACATTTCAGGACTGGTTCAAAGTGGCTATAGGCCGTGCAAACATTGCCAAATGGGAACACTGCAGATGCAACGTATTTTGGCGGAGCTCAAAAGCCATCAGCTTTGTTTCCAAGACTAATGGATCGATGGGAAATGTCCTTTTTTTCTATCTGGACTGTCAGCATACACTTCAACATTTTGGATTAGAAATATTTGTTAACATCTGTCTGCTGCTCAGTGGAGTGAAAAAGTGAATGTCATGTGATAATTGCACCTCTAGATTATGTGCTTCCAGTTATTTGAGCACAGATTTAACCAGGCTGTCGGCACTTCTCCTAACTGTTCACATAATAATAAGCAAATAATTTTACCAATAGTTTCGAATTATTATTTTGGTAGCATTCAATTCAATTCAAAATTTCTTGTGGCACAGTTAAGTTAGGCCTGTAAGGGGAAAAAAGGAAACATTACGTTGCATTAAAGAACCACAGCAATCGTATCTTTCGCCTTGAGGAAGAGGTAGATTGTCAGTTTTACTGATTGGAGACAGCTCTGAGAAGAGCTCCATCACAGGAGATCTACAGCCGCAGCACCATTAAGCCGCCATGCTGCAAGGCTGTAGCACACACAAGGTCAAGGTGCAGATTTATGTTTCCACCTAAATAGAGTGAACAGTGCCAGAGCTATCCGGGGTTTGAGGGAAATGAACCTTTTCATCACATTGATTTCCTAAAGCACCTGGAAAAAAGCATTGTCAGGCGTGGCATTTAGGCCTGATTGTGACGGATGTTTGCCACATCCGAGGCCTCTTTCCTGGACTGGATTCTGGTACTGTGCTCTCCTGGCCATGTGATGTTTAAGTAATAGATAACACTTGTCTGTGGGTTATTTAAACGTTTGTCCATCTCATTCCATCAATGTGTCATTGACCCATTTGATCTGTAATGCAATTGGCTGTCTAACAAAAGCAAATCAGTCAAGACAGTGTTTTGTTTTTCTTTAAACTATGAGTGGTTTATCGTCCTCTCCTTGGGTTTACTTTGTAAGAAAATGAATTTTTAACACTGGCGGTAGAAAATGCTTCTCTTTTGAATGTTGATAGCATGATCATAAATGAGCTCAATACTTGCACGCCTTAAATGTCATTTGAAATTATCAGTGGTCTGTATTGCAATGGGTCACTGTTTGATATTTGAAATGGCATCCTACATCTATTGAGGAGCAGACATCGTTAAAAGGCCTTTTTATAGCTGGTAATTTAGACTCTTGAGCTTCTCCACCACCGCACCCTTTAAAATCTGGTAAACTTTAAGTCAACGCTGTAAAACAACTTTATTTCTGTTTAGATATATGACAATGCCCATGTGGAAAGCTGCAAGGGCAATGATCCAGAATTATGGCTTTTTTAATATGAACAAAACTAAGGAGTTGTACTGTACACTACACAATATTTTAAACACTTCATGGACTATAACATGTAGCATTTGAAAAATATATTGCATATTATCAGTAAAAGCAGCTGAATTTATGAGGATTTTTATTATAATGAAAGGGTAGCAATTTTTTTGATCGACTAATCCTTTTTACCAAACGGGGACAAAACACGATCGGTATCTCCAAGGTGTTTGTGCTTCGAGGAAGGGGGAGTGAAGAAGAAGGAAAGATGATCTGTTCCCTCCCGTCTTTTCTCTATGCATTGCTACAGAGATAGAGGGATATAGGTCAGGGGAATCACGGCGTCTCATCTTATTCTCAGCTTTGATCCTCCCTGCCTGTACCTCCACATCTTTTTGAGTTCCTCTGCATTGTTTGCTCAGACCCATAACCTCCTCAATGCATCCATCCACCAAAGACTTCGCCGTTTTCTGGTGGAGCCTCTGGGCATTTTCAAGCTCTGCACTGAGGATGCTTAACTACAAAGAACATCAGATAGCTTTGTTTCAGGATGCTGTTTGCCACAGTAAGACTATCAAATGTTTGTATTAAGCCCCGTAGCTCATAATAAGCTGACTGCCTGGTGGCACTGCGTGTTATTAAATTTTAATTCTGGCTTGAAGAATGTTTTTATTAGCGTTACTCTTTATTCTTGAAGAATGAGAATCCTTATGAGCATCAGCTGTCTTTTTTTTTTTTCCTTTTTAGCATGTGTTTGATGATGTGATAATGATCATCAAATGGCTGTGTGTAATTGAAGATGAGCAGCAGCATTGCTGATAATCACCTCTGTCTGTGTAAAATCTAATAAACATTTAAACCAATCTCATTTAATTGTGTATCACATGTCTGCTGTGTATGTTTATCTCCGAAATCAAATGTCAGTCTTAATCTGATATGACACCACTTTACACTGCCCGAAATGATCAAGTCCTGCTAATCAGCACTTTTTCTGCGCGTTTTAGCAGATTTCCCTTGTACGGTTCTTCTCAATAGAGTTCGAATGACCTCAGATGAAAGAGGGTCCTGAGAGAGAGCTGGCCAGGCCTAAAGGGACTGAGGATTAGAATGTTTTATTTATTCAATATAGAGCACTGTCCTCTCTGTCCTCTGTGGTAGGTTGCTTGTACTTATAGAAGCAGGTGATTCCCAATAAATATGTAGAAAACTTTTTGGGGGGCTAAATTGAGCTAAAATTTCTTCTCTTTCTTCTATCTCTTATACTATGGCTAATTCTACTAGCAATATTATTATTAGTTTAATACATGTATGTGCATGTAGTGGATAGTTTTACTATTCCTACTGGTTTATTTTGTATGCATTCAAAGAGTTGGGTGATCCGGTTTGATTAATTTGAATCTGCTTTTATGTTATTTAGTGTTCAGTTGCGTTTAAGGAAAAAATTATCAGAAAATAACCTATGCCCCACTCTGTTTAAGATGTTTAACTCCTTTTGACTGTAGTACCTTCTCTTTAAAACAATCCAGAGTCCTGCTAATATATTACCATAAACATAATACATAATTAATACACAGTCATGTGTTATTGCTTAGTTCCTATCTGCTCTGCAGGCTATACATGCTGGTGAGGCAAATTCATGTTTTTCTCCCTGTCCACTGTGGGGTATAACTATGAGTAAAAAAATGTCAACAGCACTGCCTGTTGCTAAATGCGTTCTAGTGTAAGTCAATAACTAAAAAGAAAGCGATTACTAAAATAAAGACAGTAATCTAAGGCTGTAGGTTTACTCTTGCTGCTGTTTCAGTGCGTCCCGCTGATGTTTTCTGCTCTCACTCTGACTGTGAATGAGTGTGTCAGATAGAAATGCAAATATACACAGGACGTTTCAAACCACCAGCTTTAGTATGTGTCTGCAATAACTAAAAGCACAACATGCTCAGCTGGTTCTGGGAAGGATCGCCAGAATCGTGCATGGTGTGATTGCATATGAGCTGCCCTCGCAGTTTGGATTGCCATGTGTCTCATTTGTGAACTTTCTTGTGTCTGTTCTCTGTTTTGTGCTCTTTTCTCCTCCCGTATAGCTCTTAGAGATCACAGAATCGAGCTGGTGCGGGCCTCTTCTCTGGAGCTCACCATCAGGATTAGTGACGTCAGCCTTTCAGACGAGGGCCTGTACACCTGTTCCCTCTTCACCATGCCTGTCAAGACCACCAAGGCCTTCCTTACTGTTCTGGGTGAGCGGCTCAATATTGGACTGCCTGTTGCTTTATGACAAAAAATATAAGAACATAAAATGTTGTGGGGCTTAAAAACAAAGTAGCTAAAACTAACGTTTTGGGGATAATATTCCATGATACAGTAGTCAGTACAAGATTTTGCTAAAAAATCAGAAACCAAATTTCTGTCTACCTGTAATTTCTTTCTTCCTGACAGAGGATTTATCACTTCCAGTCTTTAAATTATTATTCAGTGAATATCTGGTCTGTTACATGGACGTCCAGGAGTGCCAGGACGTCCAGAGATCACAGGATTTACCAAGCCAGCCATGGAAGGGGAAGAAATCACCCTGACGTGCTCCACATCAGGCAGCAAACCAGCAGCCAACATCAGGTGGTTCCGAAACGACAAGGAGGTCCAAGGTAGGCCCGATTCCAGGGCACTAATCTAAACACCCCATCTTCTATTTCAGCTCGCACTCTCTGAGTTACATCCTTGCTGCAGTCCTTTGGGTTGATATCCAAGGATTGTTTGACTGGCTCTCCTCACAAGTTGCCAAATATTGCTGAACTGATTACTTTATGCAACAACTTTAAGGACTGCTTCTTACCGATCCTAATTTTTAAATTGTTAGTGGTACCATGATAAACCTTTACTCCATATAAAAATAATCAAAACCCTGATACTAGAAGAATAACTTGAACGCTCTAAAAGCTTTTTGTCAGGCTCGTCATAGTGAAGAATCCAAATTCAAAAACAGTTCTTAATTAAAATATGAACACGAAACCTGCATGCTGTCAAAAGAAAACACAAAAACACAGATGCTAACTCATCCCAGTGGAGCTGCGTCCGTTTGCACGGAACGAGTTCCTCTTGCGAGATGTTCCATTTGTTATTGTCAGTCGTCATTCTTTGTATTATTTTTATACCACAATGAACATGGATGTGAAGGATGATGCAAAAGCCCACTTGAATGCACACTCGGCCAGAAGTCACACCCAAAGTGACAAAGAAAACTCGACAATGCATTCTTCAAAAATGCAACCAAACTTTTTTAAACATCTCTGATGCTACAAACTTTTTACTGTTATCTCGTTCCTGCTTGTAAAAAAAAAAAAAAGGACGAAACGTGGACAATTAGCATGCAATGTTTTCCTGGGCTTTATGACAGAGAGCTCTTTGGAGTAATGGATCCTGCTGTTGAGGCTCAGTGTGACAGTTGCTCTTTATTGAACATTTGCACCGGAGAGCTTTTTTCTTGGTGGCTCTGTCTACGTCTGCCCAAACGTGGCACGGTGATTGATGGGAGAGGGGCTGGGATATGAAGTTTTCTTGTTGAAATGACATGCACGTAGCTCCCTGAAAGGCCGGCAGAGAGCTGGCACGCAGCATCACAGCCAGACGTGCTGTCCGTCTCAAGAGACACTAGGATGATCGTGTTTGTGCTTTTTTAAAAAGATAAACCTTTAAAGCGTAAAACTTGAGCTGATATAGAGATGTCTCTCCAGATTTTCTACTGACGTTGGCAATAGCACACGAGCATACTTCTCTACAAAAGCTCAGCCGCCCGAAATCTGCTCCAATCTAGTTTCTGTTGAAAGGACGTACTTTCGTTAGTTTTACTTATGCGAGGTGGATTTTATCATACTAAATGGGCAAGCAGACCTTTCCAATGCTTCTCCAAGTCAAAGAGAGATAAAGAACATCGCAGAGACTTGAGGGCTCAACTTGAAAATCTTCATTTACATGTCAAAGTGTCAAGAGGGGGGTTGTCAATCTGTGCTCAGGTTACAAGTCTTTTGTAGGTGAGTCTTTAAAGCTTTCTTTATGTGCTGGGAGCTGCATGTTGCACCACTGGTTCTTCTGTGGAAGATCATGGCCACCAGTGTGTGCTGTCAGTCACACCCCCCCCAACCCCCCCCCCCCTGGGAGCCCGTCGTACGAAGTTGCAAAGCAGTAGCAAAAATTTTTTATATTTATTTCATGCACCGATGAATTGTGTTTCAACCATTTCTATTGGTGGCACACAGTATTAAAAACCTCCAGATTCACCTGTTAAACTTGTGTTGAGTCATTTGTTTACAGAGTGTGCAGCTCCATGAATCAGTCGTGAAATAGGAAGAGTAACAGCCATTCAGAACTCACTCCAATTACTGAAGAAACACAAGGAACCAAAATAACTTTGATGCACTGTGAAGACCAGGCAAATTCACAAATCAGGAAGACTTTTCCATCAATATTTACCTGATTATCCATTGAGTGGAAAAGTTGAATTTTGACTTAGGCTAACTATTCAGGACATGTTACTATTTTGTTACTACAACTTTAAGTTGTTCAACATATTTTCAATATATTGCAATTTCAAAACAAAAAAATGTGTGCTGTTTTGCCTTTTATTTTAGCTTTCATTGCAAGGCAGAATAGGAAAAACTAACAAATGGATTCAGCAGGAGCTTGAGGCGCACTAATCAAATTTTTCCGAGGCTAGCCAGTGATAGACGATAGCAAACAGATGGTTCATCCAGCGACCTACAAATATCTTCTGAAAAACACTTGATGTTTCTAAACTTCCCAATCAAGAATTCCCAGATGGCTTTGTCAAACAAGCCATCTGGCATGTCTGAATACTATTCTGTAATAGCGATGAATATCAAGTTATGATAAGAATTTAAATCGAATTAAATTGTTATTAAAACAAATGTCTTTCCACAATATTCAATTTTATTGGTAATGGCATAATATTGGAATATACATTTTATTTGATTAATTAACAACCTGCAATCAACGATGTAACATTTCAGAATGAATAGAAATCAGTTTTTTATGGAGTTCACCATATTGTTTAAACAGACACGATACGGTATAATACTGTTTCAGAAACATGGCCACCTATTCCAAAGTGGAAGTAATAGTGAATAGTGAAAGTAGTAAAGCCTTTGCGCTGTCAACAGGAACCCAACACAAATATTTCAAGCACAGCTCTTTATGAATCTGTCCCTTACCAAAATGTGCTCTACACATCATTGTGGATAAACAATTTCCGGTGCCAAAGTGAAGACTAGCAACATCCAAATTAAGCAAAACAGTTTTTCCTGATGAACGGATTCATTCTGGAAGGCATTTTGATGGCTAATGAAGTGCGAAATGAGATCATGGGATATAAGGAGAAAATGTTTTCTTTTAATTTTGGGGACCTGGGGTTAAATATTTAAAGCTGTAGCTCTCCACTGGCAAACAGTATATCACGATCTGCAAACTGGACTCAAGGTTTCTTTTTTTTTTGTTTTGGCTCGTTTGATGTTTGGCGGTGCCATTGTCTGAAATGCTAGTGGAAATGACAGCGTTTACCATGGATTAAGCTTCTGATGATTTGAAAACTCCACCCATACATCCACATTTTATACCACTTATTCATTGCAGGGTTGCAGGGGGGCTGGGGCTATCATCGGGCAGGAGGCGGATCACGCTCTGGACAGGTCTTCAGTCCATCACAGGGCCGTGCAAAATCGATCTGGATTTATTTCTGTAGCTTGACAAGATATTGAAATGGCATAAAACAGTAATTAATCAGAGAGGAAGCTGGTGTTTAAGTACTCCAAGGTACACCGACGTGAGCTGTGGTTTACTTACAATGGCCTGACGTCTCAAAAGAAATTAAACCCAGTCTCTGAGGCTCCTCTGTCAAGACAGAAGCTAGAGCGGTGGTTGCTGAGGTACCCGCTGTTGCCTGAGGGTCGAGCCGCTGGCCTCCAGAGGAACTAGTTCAAAGCAGATGCACCTGGGCACATTCCTGCTCCTCCAAAAGCTGGCGCCGCGTGCTCTCTGGCGGCGCCAGCAGCCGCCTTGAAACAGGCTGACAGCTCCTCTGTTTCTGCTCCAGTGCTGCAGGGAGCTTGACAAATGAAAGGAAATGCAAGAGAGATTTGTGTTTAATGCCACAGAGGCACTTCCTACTCCCTATTTGCACGTTAGGGCAAAATCCGAGACTTTTAAAATCTCAAATACGAGACCTGTGACTTTGCTGTTTGCTCGAATGATGCAAGTGATATGTGATGTGTGGTATTATTGCAATTGCTTGGTACAGCTACTTTTACTTTTCAAATGTATGTACTTTTTTTCAGAAAATGTCAATCATAAAACATAAAACATATACAATTGGAATTTAATCAGAAATGCTTACAATTACCCAAATAACTGGTTTAGTTGTAGCTTATGAGAGAAGAGAAATTAAATCAATAAGTGATAAGTCCTTATTCCTTCAAGTTTTGCTCCACATAATTAGTCTACTGTAAAAAATAAAGTTAAAAAAACATTTTAAGGACTTGTAGGATATCAGTATCGATGTCAATATAGTTCTTGAGGTATTATAGTGGTGGTGATAATAGGGCTTCTTTCAGTGTAATGTTATGGTGCATGACAAAATCAAAGAGCAATATCAGGAAAGAACAAATGAAGCAGATCAGCCTAAGTAACAATGATATGGGAGGTCTGGCTTTCAATGCAAAAGGCTTTTTGTGTTTAATACACAAAGAGATTTTCTGAGCTGTGTGCATCTGTGCGTTTAAGACGGAGTAGAAAGAGTAAATATGTATGTATTGATTTGCTCAAAATCGCATCGGATGGCAGAGTCCAAGGGAAGGAAAGGATGAGCAGGATGTAAAAGGGCTGAGGTGAGAAGGATACGATCTAAAAAAAGTGCTTAAGGCCATGACTGGATAATGTTTCGTTCAATATCCAATAACCTTATAGATTTTTCTGGAGAAAAGAGGCAAACCCAGATTAGGTGCATAGAGAGAAAGAAAATACATGCATGCATATGCAGACTAAAAGGCATAATGATAATGCAGGGAAAAACAAATACACATTAATAAATGGAGCTGTTCAGGGTTAATATTAAGGTAGGGAAACCAAAGAATAAAAAGGAAAGAAAAGAAAGGATGTCAGTGGCTGCAAAAATCCACCCCATAACGCTGAAAGAGAGAATGCCTGTTTGTTTGAGAGGGATGTTTGAAAGATGGTCCTGAAGGAGCAAACACACCCAGTCAACCGAGTCAGCCGCACACTCCTCTCCCTTCACCATCCGCCACACTTTGACTTGACTTTCAAAGATAAAAGATGCTCCCCCTCAAAGGAGGTATAAAGAAAAAAAAAAGAACAATACAGCAGTTCTGTATCAGAAAAGGAATACGATCAAATAATATCTAATGTCTCTGCAAACTTTTTTACATTCACATTTGCTTTTATTCTTTCAGTGACGTAAAAAAAACAATGCAAAGATCATTGAGAGTACTAAAGACTATTGATAACTCACATGTGTTTTTTTTCACCCTGTGTTTTATGTCTCTAGGCATGAAAGAGGTCAACGCTTCCGGAAAGTCGTTCACAATAACGAGTAGCCTCCACTTCCAGGTGGACAAGCGGGATGACGGCGTGGCCTACACCTGCAGCGTGGAGCACACGTCCCTGTCCAACCCCTACATGACCACCGAGGTCCTGGAGGTCCACTGTGAGTGCCATAACCCCCCCCAAAGATGGATTAGTACAGTGAAGAAATGCAAGGGATTGGGATTACAATCATACCTGCAAGTTTAGCTTTGCATTTGTTTCGGATTAGCATAGGATTAGTTTTCAGGTGAGGGATTAGTACCGCGGCACAACGGGGATGTGGACTACAGCTGAAAGCTGCCCAAAGGGCAACCAGCTAACAACCGCCTATTTTATTAGTGTTAAAGTAAAAAAAAACGCTAACACTCTCGTAACGCCTTAGCACTCTTTTTTTTCTTGTTTCTTCCTCACAGATGCTCCCCAAGTGGAGATCACACATTCATTGATTATTCCACAGGAAGGACAATACTTCAAATTGGAGTGTGTTTCCATAGGCAACCCGATGTAAGTAGGAAATTAAATACAGCTTCAATTGGTTGGATAGTTGTTAGTTTTAAAGTGGGCAGAAAATTCATTAGGGATGTGATTTTCATTTCACAACTTTGTGTTTTATCTTCTTTCTCAGACCTGAACCTGTGCTGTGGTATAAAGATGGCGGCGAGCTGCCTGATATTGAGCGGATGATTGTGGAAGGAACAGAACTTACCATCACCACACTCAACAAAACAGACAACGGCACATATCGCTGCGAGGCCAGCAACCACGTGGGGACCAGCTTTGCTGAATATGTATTGTTTGTATACGGTGAGTTCCGCAGTAAGGCCTATTGTTTGCTGTATCTTTTACATCTTACCCAACAGTTTACACATAATCCTTTTTTAATTAAACTTAACTTAAAGACCTATAGCTTTAAATTATATCAAAACATTTAAATGAAAGTGGTTAATCCAATTTAGTAAACAAACCTTTAAGTATTTCTTAGATCAACTCAAGATGTTAATATCAATGAAACTCTCACATTAAGAAAACACACACACTTATATAATCGGTGTCCGTTTTTCTATCATTTGCGAGGTTGGTGATTCACTCCTCCAAATTTGGGCATACTAAGGTGTTTGGATCCATGGTCAAAAACTTGGAGGAGGAGCCAAATACAAACTGGCTGGAAGCTAACTTTATGATGAACCAAAAAATATGCTATTACTGAAACAAGAGAAGAGGTACTCCAGTACTAACAAAAAAAAATCAGACAGCAAAAGCAAGAACCACAAACTAGCGGTACAGAGAAGCCTTAAGAACAAGAAAATCAATGGGGGGACTAGAGAGCTATAAATACCAGGAGTGTTAGTGAGATGAGTGACAACAGGCGAGTAATTAACAGAAGACAGGTGTGAACACCAACAGCATTTTTAGGGGCGATGAGAATAAGGGAGTCACCTAAAACAAAGCAAGGACCAACAGACGCTTGGCACAAATACAGAGTGAAACGTATGATAACAGTAAACTTATGGCCTAGGAAACTAAATTTGGAAACCAAAACTAACTGCACACTCATATGACAAAAGTTAGATACAACTGAAACGAACTCAGAACAGGGGAAACTGAAACAAACAGCATCTGAACCAAACAAATAAAATATACTAAAACCAGACTTATAATAACAAAATCAAAGCACAAGGAGAGAAAATACTATATTTTATTATTAAAACATACCTGGTAGCAGTTTAAAATTAAACATATTCTATTCTCCAGATTTGAATATCACCATTCACCGTCACGTACTGCGTTGGTGCCATGGCAACACATTGTCTTACTACATATCATACATGAGTAGTCTGCATCAGTTTCTGGTCTATTCCTGCTGGAAAACAGAAAGAAATAATGGTAATCTAAAAGAAAAGGCTTAGTTTCAGAGCTTTGCCAAGAGGAAAGATAAGTTAATCCCGAGAGTGTTGATACGTTGAAAGAATGAAGGCCGTTTATTGAAGCAAGTGGTTTGTGAAGACCTCCGTAGCCAATATTTATCACATTAATCAGATACTATCGCGAATGAGAAATAATGAGAGAAATAAGGGCACGGTATTGAAATTCAACATGGATTTGTTTGTTTCCTTTTTGCCAATTAAAGCGTGCACACGAGTGTGGTTTGCCTGGGATTGACTTGGAACAGCAGAGAGGAGTTATTCGACTCACAGGCAGTTTCTTAATGCACAGCGGCCTCTTTGTGCGGTTTGAAAGGCAGAGGCTTTGGGGAGCCAAAGCCATTCTTTGCAAAAAAGTGAAGGAAAAAGAAAGATGACACATTTGTCCTTTCAGCTTATGTTATCTCGGTGTCCTCTTTCAGCGTGCTCATTGAATAAGGGAAGACAGCAATGTCAGGCTCGCCTGTATCCTCCTGTCACCCCCAGCCCCCGTGTGCTAGTTCAAAGCGCCATTCGTCACATTTTACAACCACGTTGCAGCCCGAGATTTTTCTATTACTTCAAATTAAAGACAAACTTGTTGAATTTGCCGGGGCCGTGTGATTTGTGTTTGCCCAGAGGCTGTTTCGTACTTTTCGTGAGATAAACTGAGGGGATCACAAAAATGCTAATCCTCAGTTGCTCTCTCTCTCTCCGAACACAAAGGTCCAGGGTTGCTGAGGAAAAATGAAAAATTGTGTTGAGCACGGAGAAAAATGTGTGAGACAGGCTCATTTCCACTGATGATGACAGTCATTCTTCAGAGCTACATTGTGTCTGGCTGAATACTTGCCGGGTCTTTTCGGATCATCTCAGCCTCTACACCTAATTTACTAATGACAGCAGAGCTGGGAAGCCATAAATGTCATCCGTCTTCCACAATTTATCATCGCCCGAAATGATCCTCTTTAATAAACTGGATTAGAGGAACCACTGCATGGGAGATGTTTGGGAAGCATTGGAAAAAAAGAAACTGGGATTAATCCAGAGAAAGCCCTATTCGGCTGTCGGCCTCCTTCTTCCCTCTTTCCAGCACATTTTCCTGTCATTGATTGTACATTTTCACCTCAACAAGCATGACACATTTCCCATTTTCTCCGTGTGTGGGCCCATTTGCCAAGCAAACATCAAACTCTGTCAAAATTTAACAAATATGAAAAAGAAAAATCCTTAATGCTCGACTCATCCACTCGCAGAAGATATTGCTGTTTTGTTGCGATTTATTCACAAGGCAGCTGTATAGCTATTGCATTTGATTGCCTTTGATCATATATAAAATTTGAAAGGATTTTTGCTGCAATTCGCTGAAGTGAACAACCAGAATGAACCTATACCAGCCATGCACGGTAATTGATTTGTGCTGTTTAATTTTCCTGTACGTTTCTTCGTGTCGGGCTCGCTCCCCACAGAGGGGTTTGTTTTTGCTCCATTGTTTCTATTTTAATTTAGCACACGTCATCACCTTAGCGCCTCTGGCTCCCTCGTCTCCCTTCTCTACCTCAATTCTTTGGCTCCTTTAATGCAGACATTCCAACATCAGCCTCAGTTATTCACAGCTTTGCTTGCAGGTACACTCTACGCACTCACAAATATGACATTGAACACACAGTTGATGATTGATGAGCTAAAACACAAAGCTTTGAGCTAGAAAATGGCATGGTTTTACTTGATGAATTTTCTTTTTCACTTTCATTTGAGTTTTTTTAAATATATTTTTTATGCAGAGACTGTTTTTTACCACTGTGAGGAAACATTGCATGGGAGAGTTTCAAGATCATTTATTTATTGTTCATAAACCATTCAGAATGAAAGAATATCTGTGCAGAAGCAGAAAATGGAGTGGGATGTATATCTGTGTCTGTCTATGCAGGTTTCTGTGACACAAATGAGCTTTTGTTGCACTGCTTCCAAAAACCACACGTTTTAATGTGCTTTCTACATTTAATCTCTCTGAATGTTGTGTTTGCATATGTCTTATGAAGATAAACGGTTTCCATATGTAAACAGAATCAACGCTTTGATAAAAAGGCAACAAATGCGACTTATATTTGGGGTCGGGTCAACATTTCTGGTAAACATAAAAAGGTTTTGTTTATATTTCATGCTTCTTACTAAAATGAAATATCTGAGGGCTTTCTGCATAAATTGTTTGCAAATGATTTGAATCAGTTTATTTCATAGTAAACTCAGTATGGAATGAGCAACGCTTAATCTCCAGAAGACCCAATGACATTGCTGTGTTGGATTTGTTGAATCAGGTCCACCAGTGTAAACAGATATTAGGACTTCTGAGCCCCACCACCCCCACCCCTTTTGTTTAGGATTTAAAAGACAGTTTGCTTTCCAGCTTATGTCCAATTGTCGCTGCCCCTATAATTCACTGGAGTGTCCGTCATCTGGGTTGCACACATATCCATCCTTGTGACAATTGTTGCCAACGGCATCCTGCATCTTTCTGATGCATTTTCAGACCCATCAGAACCGATATCTGTTAAACAACCAGAGAATAAAGAAACAGTTGCATTTTTATGGCAAATTTTCCTATTTTTCTTTGCACGTTTTCACCTCAGCTTTTGCATTTTATGTGACATAGTACACCTGACGACTTTTTGTTGAGATTTTTAGTTTTTGAGTCAGTATTTTTGGAAGTTCGCCTGACAGGAGTTGGCTTATTTTAACAACCAAAGCAAATTCAAACTCAAAACGCTCCAACCAATCTGTAAGTCTCAAAAACTTGAGTAAGGTTGCAAGATCCATTCTTTGGACCATCTATTAGTGTCTTCAAGTCTTTAGAATCAGGTTCAGAGCAGGAAATTCCAGTTACAGCACCAATGGATGCTTTGTAAAATGAATGTTTTGTTCCAATACTAAAAATAAACAATAAAATCGTGTAAAAAGCATAAATCAAAGAATAACATGAAATAATCCTTATCTGGTGTGACCATCCTGATTCTTTATGTTCTGCTTTGAATTTTGTGGTCAGCCTCTTGATCACGGTGTTGTTCCCCTCGTCTTTCCTCAATGCTGCCACTGTCTACAACTATGGCAACAGCTAAAGACTTTCCAGGGCCCACGACAGGTAAATATCCCAGCAGACGATCATTGCAACCCAGATGTGGAGAGTGTGATGCTGGACCTGGCTCTGGGTCAGGACACATCATGGCCTTACCATCCTCAGCCCAATCATCCCCATGCATGGACGCTCGCTCAGCTAACGCTATGCGCTGTATCTCTCTGGCCATGTCATTGGCTGCATAAGTAACCACACATGTTTTCCATTACAGTTTGTTTTTGCTCAGTAAAATCATGCAATTATACTGGAAGGAAATTGGTTTTTAAAATCTCTTTGTGTTGACTTTTTGTGGAACAACGACATATTTAATATGTCCTATGACCACCGCAGTGCTATGCTCCAGGTTCATCTATGATTGAATCACTCATATTTTTAGTATGATGTCACCATATTAGAGCACTTTGATATATATCCCTTTTATTTTGGTAAACCTTAAACCTGTGTAGGTTTTAGTTTTGAAATCGGACATTTGTGTTGGTGCCACACAGGATGGACACAGAATAGCCATAAGATCTTTGGTTCAGAATGTCAATATTTGCAAGCAAAATACTGAAAAACGAAACGCTGATGTCATTGGTTGATGTAAAAATGCCTGTGGACTGTAAATTCTTTCAGGCATTTGTTCCTGTTTTTGCAGTGTTGACTCCCTGTTGCTCAGAGAACTAGAAGAGGAACAATCTTTGTCTCTACTTGCGAGAATTTACACGGTCTGCTTAGACAAGCATGAATATTAAAAGTCTTTTACCTATTTCTCTTTGTGTTTAATATTATAGGATAACTTATTTGTATTCCTGTAGCAGTGAGCATCAAGTGAGATATGAAATTTGCTTACGCTCCTTGCTGACGGTGTACTTACCTCTTCTGGTCATTATTCCCATTAACATGCTGCCAAAATCGAGTTAATGCAAATCTTTAATGAAACAATCATTGCCTCACAGCCCTATGTGCCTGCTTGTGAGTCCCTGATAACACAACATTGATGTTTTTCGGTTGTGCATGCAGCCAAATAAAAACGCATGATACACAACGTTCATCTATTTTTTAAGCCGAACACACCCTGGAATGCTGGCAATGAGTTCCACATTTTGTTAACGGTGTGGTACAACAAGGTTTGTGACATGGACGCCGTCATTTCCCAGGGTGACTTTGCGAATCCGAGCACGAGCCGCAGCCATTCATCAGGTTGAGATAATGAGAGCACAAGAGGTGCACAGTAAAGACACAGACACTCTCAGTTTATCACAGCTCCTGCCTGTGGAGCGCCCCCCCCCCCCCCCCCCCTCTGCCCTGAGGATGTCTCATGTTAAATAACGTCTGACCCTAAGCGGCAGGAACAGGCGATGAAAAAAACATTAAAAAAACCCAAACGTTAGCTTGCGCTCAGTCTCAGACCGAATATCTGAAGCATCACTGAAGAGCTAGCTATCAAGCAACCCATTAGCCATGTTTAGGACGCATGTTGAATTCAGGTTTGCGATGAAACCTTGTTTAAATATCATAGTTTAAGCACTTGAAAGCGGTGGGTTGCGATACTATAAGCTCACATGAGACTGTTGGATTCTGTATTCAGTCAATTTGTTGGTGCTATTTATGTTTGGCACTGTGGAAAAAAAGGCCCACAGCTGCACAAAACGCTGGCACAGCAACTTGTTGTTCCTAATACAAGTCCTTCACTTACTCTTTCCTCTCTGTTTGTGCTCTGTTTCAGATCCAAACGCTCTGGGGCAGCACGTGCCCGACCACGCTCTGATCGGCGGCGTGGTGGCCGTCGTGGTCTTCATCACCCTGTGTTTGATAATCGTTCTCGGACGATATCTGGCCAGACATAAAGGTAAAAGAGGTCACTCTGCTCTTGGTTTTAGTTAATTGAATATGCTCTGGTGGATTCCTTTATTTGGTTTGTGCGTTTCCAGGAACATATCTAACGCACGAGGCCAAAGGAGCAGAGGACGCGCCCGACGCCGACACGGCAATCATCAATGCTGAAGGAAACCACGTGCACGCAGAGGAAAAGAAAGAGTATTTCATTTAGGTTTCTGGTCCTTTTTCCTTTTCTTTTAACTCTCAACGGCAGACATGCAATTTGAAGTGGCTTCAGTGTCACTACATAATCTGTTCTACTTTTCATGTTACTCTTGTCTTTTACAGAAAGTTCATGCTTGGATATGCTTGTTTTTCAAAGCATTAACTGACTTTCTCCTTTTGTAATAAATAGAGACCATGAATTAGTCCTTTTTTCAGTTTTCTGGTGCCTAAACGCTGTACGTTTTCTTTGCATTCCTGGATTGACTGCATTAACGTCTTTCTCTACTCTCTCTTACTTAATGTGATACAGAACTTTTTTGCAGATTTTTTAAAAATTCTGAAGGAACATCAAATGTGCTCCATCTTTACGTAAAAATCAGGTCATAGCTTTTCAAACTGTCTTATTACAACATGGGAAGTGAATAATTTGTCAAACATCACCTTCAAAGGAATCTTTTTAGGGATCATACAGTTGTCCTGGGTGTTGCCTGGAGATTATCCCACCACAGCCATAACATACATGTTTTAAACATCATAAAACAGAATTTGATAGAGCAAAATGTAGAAGCACAATCATTGTGATTGTCAGATGAGTTTCAATCTATCTTTGCATTGTCTGTATATCACTCCACAGATTTATTTAATTTATACATGCTTTGTTACCTTATACCAACAGAGAAGTTAGAAAATTAAAGCACAAAGTCTGAGGACTAACGTAGAGGGAAAACACATCAACCATTTATTGTCTCAGGATTCAATATGAGTCTAAATGAAGATACAAAGTCCGACATGTGACTTTCACTTACTGTCATGGATGTGATTGATTATTTTATTCTATTTGATGTAAGATCCAAAATGAGTGAGTGGAACCTTGTAAAGGTTCAGTTTTTTATGTTGATTTTCATTGAACAACTATGCTTAATGTATGGATATTGCTGTAAAATACTTTGCTAACGTGAATATTGGTGAACAATATTGTCGAATCTTGGGATCCCTGACTCATTGAAATTTATATATTAGCATATACTTTATTCAAACCACTTTCCATTTCTCATTCCCCATCTAAAAGTAGGCCGTTTTGCCACAAGGCATATAAGTATTTGATTTCAGAAAAAGAGAGAAAAACACTGTTTCTAGCTTTTGATTTTAGGTCACATCAGTCTCTGTCACTTTGATAAGTGTTTTGAAGATTTCTTCAAACAGGTATTCTAATGAACTGCTTGAAATAAAAAGAATCTAAATATGTGTATTTATTATAACTGATTGACATTTATTATATGATACTATTGATCGATATTATTGCTGTTAATACTAAAGTAGTGGTCTGACATGGACTTTTTCATTTTTTAATTCTGTAATCTGTCATGAAAAAATGTACAAGGATCACCATTATGGCCTTTGAGTTTTGCTGCAAACAGTACTGACATGTTGAGGCATTGGTGAATCAGACATCCCCTCGCTGTAAATAATCACTGGATCAAAGACACTGAAACATGTTGCCAATGCTCATACATGTTATTTTGTTAGTTCATTATATTGCTATAAATACTCATTTTGTATAAAGTTTTAATTGCTGTAATTAATTTGCTTTTTATGGAGGATGTGTTAGGGTTGCTTTTTTTCTCAGTATTGAATATTCATTTTTCAACTATGCCACTGTAAAAAAAAAAGAGAAAAATGAAAAAAGAAAGAAAGTACGGATTAAAATATGAACAATTCAAGATCCAGCATTTTGTTCGATTTTGTTGGCAAGATTCTCTGAAATGATCTAAAGACCAAAGCTTTGTCTTTAAGAATTACAGTGTAATTACCTACAGTCGTAATATCGGCAATAAAACTCTGGTCTCCTAGCGTTCATGACCATATCACTGGAGCGGAGTTTGATATTTAAAGTGCCTTTGAGAAATTTCCAGCAGATGTCAAATTGGGAGGATGCTGCTTCAGTTGTTGACAAATGAGTAACACACAAAAACAAAAACAGAACATAAACCACTCTGGGATCTGACCTTTTTCATCAAAAGAAAAGGCCCAGTCTTATATGTCTCAGTTACATTTGTCCAAATTTGAACATATTAAGAATTTGGCCATGTTCACTGATAAGTAAGTAACATTAGTATTAAATATTATAGGTAAAAGAATCAAGATTATCATGAGTTCAAACATTTGAAGCTTCACTTTTATGTGACAAACACAGATATGCATTTTGACATGGCCATTATAAGTCTTTATAGGATTCATGTGTGAATTACATATAACACAATTGTTTTGCCTCAGAATACAGTCAGTAATTCTCACACAATGCCATGCTGAAAATACAATGAAAACATGACAAATATTCAACATTCCAAGAACAAGTATGGAAATGGGAAAAGTTGGACTACATCCACACGATTCGTGGCCAAAAGTGTGGGTGTTAAATGTAATGGACTGTGAATGCAATCTAGCAAAGACTAGCAATAAAACCTACATTTGACTAAAGCAAATGGTCATCACAGTATCAGACATTTTAGTCCTAATTTGGATTCTGTCAGGATGTTTGATTCAAAACAAAAGAGGGGAAGTAGAAGAAGGCCCCTTTTTCCAGATCATAATCACAGCTTCACTGACTCAAATGACCCATTTGAAATGTAAGGACTGACATCATAGCCTTCTCTAGATTACTGAGCTTTTATCAAGTTCCTCAGGATCCTTAAATGGAGATGGCGTTCCGGGACACAGGAAACGAGCCATTACGGTCCTCCATTCTTCAGCTCCCATTGACCTTGGACTTAATGCTCCTTCCCAGTAGACTAATGTTGCCATTATCAACACACTGTCCGGCCAACCATCTGCCCGCTTCACGCAGCGCCCGCCTCCCCCTCCCCCTCCCCCCCTCTCCCCTCAGCTCCCAGAGCTCACTTCATAATCATTACCACAAAAAGCCCAGCCAGTTCAAATAAACATCAGCTTCCACTATTGCACTCCTTCACATTATTAAAAGCTCGCTGCTTCGTTAAGCTATAGAAATTGTGATAGACTGCCTTTAATAATGCCTGGCAGGAAAAAAAAAGAAGCTAAAAATCCGTCATAATTTAGTAATTGGATATCGAAAGGGGGAACATTTATGCGTAATCAGAAATAGTGAGTCGGGAAATGGGCTTTCTCTTTACTCTTGAAATGTGAGAACCATGCCCTGGGCGATGTAAAAATCACAGCATGACCTCTAAGGAGGTCTTGTAAGTTTTACTAAAGGGAAAAAATGGATCCCTACTGGACCCTGTAGGCAGAGTCCATATCAGTCTTCAAGCTCACAATAAGCTCTTATCATGACAGAACAGAAGTCTTAGACAAAATTCTTCAGGGACACTTTGATATCTGAAAGAGAAATATTATCACTTGTACACATTAACTCTACAACACTATTCCAATTTTGAAGTGTTAAACAATAATTCATGTGCAAATAGTCCCACCAGTTTTTCTCCAGGCGCATTCAAATTAAATAGTGAGAATATGCCCTCCTTTAGCGTATTTGGATTTCCGAGTCTCGTCCTCCAGACCTGAGATAGTGGATTTTTTTGCATTGGCACGGAGCAAGTAGTTATCCATACAGCCCATCTTTTCTTTCCTTTTCCCCCCTCCCACAGCTGTGCTGTAGATTAGTGACAGCTGGAGGAGCCGTATAGCAACTGTGCACAAGAAAAAGCCCTGCAACCCTCACACACAAATCTGAGTTCCGCTGTTGCATTACTGCTCCAAATTCTGGCAGCAATTCCACTTGCTTTCACTATTTAAGCATATTAAATGCCTTGTGTATTGTAAGGGATTTGCATATGATGCCAAAAGATGCAAGGATTTATCTAAAAAGAGGAAAGGGCAATGGAGGATAGTCGTCCTCTGGATTATCTGCTTTAATTAGTGATTTAAAAGGTATTAGTTATCAGTGAGGGTCACAGTAATTCATGGAAGTCTTATGTCAATGAAAAGGACATTTATCACAATATTTCCAACAACCAAACAATCGATTGTATTGCAGAAGGGGGGAGCTATGGCTACATGGGAGTCTGAATGTGTTTGTGTGATGGGAGGGGCCCAATTCTCAAATGCCAGGGGGGGAAATTTTCCCAGCACAACAACAGGTTAAGCGGTGTTACTCACTTTAGCTGTCAGTGGTTTAAATGTTACATGTGCATGTGTACATTTTTAGATCTTTGCATAGGGTTGGATAATATTAAGATGGAACCTGCTACCTTTACCGTACCCATTTATTACACCCAGAAACAGAGATTATTCCTTGACATTATTGATTACGATTATTTTTTATAAAAAATAACACAGAAGCAACTTCCCCTAAGCCTGTCTTCATTATACCTACAATATGCACTCCTCACCTGTATCTTAACATCTCTGCTGGAACGGAAGGGTGCAGGAAATTAGCTTGAAATGTGCTTTGTTTAATTATGTTTGATGAGATTATACAGATCACTCACACTTATAGTTGTGACAGGACTAAATGGAAGTTAGGAATCAAATGATCTGGAACAAAGAACATGAGTCTCTATATCCCCTCAGATGCATCACCACGCTATTAGTCTAGATGAATGTGTACAGTCAAATACAATTCCCCTGTTTGCTGCATGAGAGCTTCCACTTTGTGGAGCAGTGACTTCCCTGTTTGAATCAGGCCACATGCAGGCCCATGGATTGATGACTGAAATAGGGCTGCCCACTGTAATTCTAACTCATTCATCCACACTGACTCTCATTTTCTCCGGTACGTCTTTAAATAGCCTGCCCAGGGATTGTCTGTCTACCGTTTGATTTACTCTGCCTCATATTTATAGATTTAGTCAAATTTGTTTGGGTGAGTTTACTTTGTGCAGACGTGGGGGGGGCATATAAGGGGAAGCCTTATGATAAGACCTTTGTGTAAGTGGGAGTGTGAGGATGCTGAGGTGGGGGCCTGTACTGTACCTGTGGCAGGGTATGCAATAAATAACGGGCCATCTGTTTGAATTTGAGCAATGGAGATTCTTCCAAGGAACTCACAGGAGACTTAATTAAAGTTGAATAGGGGTGGGAAATGATGTTTCTCCATGAAATTATAGCTAGAGGAAAACTTTGCATCAGTTTCTTAATATTTTCATTGCCTTTAAAGTAAAAAACAAAACACGATCTTGGTCTATTTTAATCGTGTTATATAATGTTCATAACATTTTTCATGTTAGTTTAAATCCCATTGCCTTTTTGATAGTAATATGAACATCCCTCCACAGGGAGTTATAATGTATTCATTTCTCTAGGGAAACTGATTGAACGTACAGGACACTTGAAATTGGCAATATCAATTTAAATAAATATTTGAAAAAATATAAAAGGACAGTAAAGGTAACAGCAATATCTTCCAGTCAAGTAGAGATAACTTTTAATTTACTCCAAGGACAGTTATGAGCAGAAACAGATTAAAAATCATATGACTTGATATTTGAATTACACATTCACCTTTGAACAATAATATAATGAAATGAAATTCTTTCTCTCATGTATTCAAAAATAGAAATTTCTCTCTTAAATGACAGACGCTTTTTTTTTTTTATTACAAAAAATATTAATGTCTGAAAAGACTGTTTACAAACTGCTGGACCAGTAGGTTGCCAGCTCTCTGGATGTGGGTGGACATCAGGTGTTGCCTCATTTTCATATTCATGCCCCATAAAAAGGTATTACTGTCATTTAAAATGTGGCTGTCAATGTCAGAGAATGGAAAAACTTAACTCATATTATTAGTTATAATTGGACCCCGGACATGTCCCTAGTCAGAAGGAAACAACCACACATACTCTGATTCATTCATTTTTACAGGCAATTTACAGTGTTCAATTAACCTAACATGCATGTTTTTGAACAGTGGGAGGAAGCCGGAGACATGGGGAGAACAAACTCTCCACAGAAAGGTCCTGGTCCCCTGGGGATTTGAACCGGGAACCTTCTTGCTGTGAGGCAACAGTGTCCACCACTGTTGAAAATACTATTCACAAAGACAAATAAATGATTATAATATATCAATAAATAATCCAGATCTAAGCAAGGTTTTCCATAAAAAATAGCACATTGGATAATCGTTATTAAATGTCTGTAATGGAAATAAAGAACTGAAAGATACTGCATCTTGACCACCTTGACCACAAGGATGTCCACAACCCTAATAAACATAAATTTGCAATAAAACACACTCTAAATATAAATAACAAAGACATGTGCATAGAGTAAGTGAGCACATTACCCATGTAAGAGAGCTTCTTGTAATTTGCAGAGGTTTCAGCACCAAAAGAGTGAAGAAGGGCAATCAAAAAGCTGAGAATGACCGGTGGGATAGGAGCTTTAAAGACTTCCTGAGCGACCAGGCTTTTGTCTTTATGATGCCAGTCAGAGTGATGGTGGGCTTTAGGGATTTTTCCAGACAGACTGTTCAGAAAGAAAACTGATTAAATGGTGGTGAGACTGGAGAAAATGTTTAATTCAGTTACATTTAGTATTCATGGGGTGACAAACTATACAAGGGTTCACCTTGAGGGGTCATGGGGAGAGAAAGTCCAGAATCCAAAAGAGTGGCTGGGCCGAGTTCCCAAACAATGCTGGGAAACAACTGATTGTGTTGTTAATTGCTTTGATTATAAAGTTTACTTTTGCCGGATTGAAAATGGTAATGCAAACGCGTATTGAATGGACACAGTGATGTGTTTTCAAAAGAGGCTCCATTGTGCGGCTCAAGTGACACGAGAGAGATTTGCTAGAATAATCGATACTGAACCTCAATCAGTGAATACAGATTCATAAATTCCTTCACTCACTTGATCTACTTCATTACATTCAGCTGAAATGTTTCTGTGTGAGCGTTAAATATCATAATTTGCTTTTCAGAAAAAGCGTGAGAGATCGTGTGAAAGATCAAAAAGCTGCAACAACATTTGAATACTTATCAGAATAACTTGTGATGGAGATGTACAAATGATGACTGTATCTGGTGAGTTAAAGTGTATTGTTTTATGAATTGTAAATAACAGAATTGTTCAAGTTTGGTTCAAATGCGGCAAAGAAAGCATTAAACGTCTTTTCAGGGGATTAAGCACGAGAAAGGAGGTTCTTCATCAAATCCTCTGTTCCTCTCTCAGCTCCAAGTGATTCAAAACAATACCATTAATATTAACTCTGCAAAAGAGTGCCAGCTATAGAGACATGATGAAATCCCTACGTTAAAGTACCTCACCATGACGTTCAAAACTAATTCAATTATTTGCATGACCAGTTCAATACACCTAAAGAATTGGATTATTGTCAGAAATGGGGGAAAAAATGTGGAAAAAAATGATAATACCAGCAAATCATGGGTAAATGAAATGTTACGTGAAGAAAAATAGGATTTCCACAAAGACCTGCCAAAATAGGCTGAGGATACAAGGGATGGCAAATGATTTTTGCAGTCTTCTTCCAGCCTATTTACTTCCCATCAACTTGAGATCCTCTTTAATATGAATCTTCAGAAAGTATTGTCCTTCATCACTGCTTTACTGGCTACAGTGGAGAAAGGAGATGTGTATAGCCAAGTAAAGAACAAGAAAAATTAAACCCAGAACAGTGAAAGTGATGGCTTTAAGCCATCAAGGCGGCTTAGTATACAACACCTTTGTATGGCGTACACAAAATTGTATGGCATATCCAGCATATATGTGTGTGTGTATAAATATATATATATATTAGCCAGCACATTAAATAAAGGATGCTTTTTAGCAACAGTGTTTAGTGTATCTGTCTTCAGTAGAAAATGAATTTGATATGAAAATATGGATATGTCACACAATAGTGACGCGCTTTGAGGAGAGCAACAGTCACAGTGGAGTGAAACGAATGAGACATTTGCCCCAACCTTCACCCCGTAAACAGTCATATGTCCGCCGTTCTTTATGAGGAAGACAGTGGGGTCTCGGAGGCCCCTGAAAAAAAGAAAGCACCCCATAAATTCTCCCATTTGCTGAATCTTGATCCGCTGACCTGCTCATTGACATGAAGCTCAGATCCATACTGTTGAAGTTACCGGGATAATCGTCCCATTTCTACGCTCCTGTGTGTTCTGCAGTGTGCCGGGGACGACGGGGCTGACGGGGAGATTTTCAGCCACTTTGGTTCCTGACTCTCTAATGACTGAGACTCGGGCCACAGTGCTGACTCCAGTCTGTGGGAGTTTTAACAGCCTGAGTTTGGAGAACACAAGATAGCAACGTTGCTCTTTTCCTGACGGGAAAAAACAAAACACAGAAGACTGGCCACTTAGATCCTGACCAATCTCATCACATGAAGCACCACAACAGAAGTGTCAGATTATATGGTATTTCCACTCTACCATGTATGAGCTTATGTCCATTCTAATTATGTGAACATAGATTTTCAGCACATTTAAAGATGAGGACTGAGGAAATTGGGCTGTGAGCTGAGAGACGAGAAGAACACGAGCAAGTGCCCACAAAAAAACAAAAGAAGATATATCGGAGAGTCTTCAGGGGCTACAAGTTTATACTTGAGAAATTTTGGCCATTCTGACCGAAGAACTTTGGTCAAGTGTAGTAATGTTCAAATATATTTAATGGATTACCCTCTACATTTTACTCTGAGTACGTGTAAACAGCTTGTTGGTCAGTGGGAAGAACAGTAAGTCAGGAGAATGCTAAAATCTTGGGTTTGTTAGTCTTGCTAAGGAGACTGTTTAGCTCCAAAAGAGATCTCTTGATGATTAAATAATTGAATTAAGTTGATTAAGCTAATACACATGCATATATATATAACCAACTGGCCCCTGTTGGGGGTAACAGGTCCACTCTTTTGTGTTCCAATTGGCTGTTAAGTCATATCATTAAACCACAAACTGGTGTGACAGTGGAAATTACTTTGTGTTGATTTTAGTGCCACAAAATCTTTTTCTCAGTTCACCTAACTGAGGAATGCAACAGTAACAAAATGGCCGTCTAGTTAGCTGAGAACCGTAATGAAGTGATAATTCTAAAGTCAGTTTTAATATATTCAATTAGCTGTTGTGTAGGTCTATAACAATGAAGAATTTTTAAAGTCATCTAACCAAGGAATGAAACTAAGTGTGTGAAGGGTAACACTGTATTTGTTATAACAACGTTCCCAACAGGTTTATTAAAAGTCAAGTTGGCCTTTGTTGACAGTGCAAAATTAATTAAAGCACTCAAACTTAGAATATACTTAGAATAAAGCAGGTTGAAGTGGCTTTGTTGTGGTTGTTGTTGAGTCATTCCTCTTTGCTATGATGAACACTTTGCTTGAATGATTCAGCTGAGGGATCTTTGTGTCCAAAATGAAGGGTTATCAGAACCAAATAGCTGAATGAAGGGTTAGAACTGTCACTTATCCTCATTTGGAAAATGAAGGTCTTAGGCATGATGACGACGGGCGCACCTGCTAGTACAAAAGTTATTTGCTTTTCATTAAAGAGAGATGAGAGAGATGTAAATTATGAGTCTTTCCAGATGGTCCATTAGACCTCCGAGGAGACTGAATAACCCCCTATGAAAAAAAATAATAATAACAATGATAAAGTGAGAACCCTCCACCATCTGTAGGGCCAGAAAAGGAAAAAACAACATGTTTCAGAGACCAGATAGAAAAACACAGTTTCTTTTCATGTTGAAATGTTTATTCTAACTGAATGTGTGTGGCTGCTTTTGGTCAGCTAACTGACATCCTGATTTATTGCCTCTTTTCTCTTGCAAATATGATGACAGAAAATATCTCAAGTTGTAACACCTTCAAATTCTGCTTAACAAATGCTGCCATCTGCTGGCCAGACCATCTGCTGAGGAAAAAAAAAAAAAAAAAACCTATTGCACCCTACAGCTCCATCTCAGTCTTGAGGTACTGAAAATGAAGATGAATAAAAGATGAAACACAGAGTGAAATCCCTGATGGCACATGGTTTATCAAATAAATTATTTTTACCAGAAAATATTTTCATAATTGCCTTATCCATAGTTTAAAACAAAGGATATAAATTACCTAGTTTTGAAAGTCTACATATGACAGTCATATCGGTGTTGAATATCAATAACATTTTGGTGGTAATAAATACTGGTGAGCTTACTTTTTAAGAATATCCCTCATATTAAGAAAGTAAGAAAAATGTCCCTGATATTTAAAGTAATGAAGTTTCTGTCAATTTGAGCAAAAACAGGAAAACCACATGAAATGCGTCTTTATGCTCCTTTTCAGTTATTGCGTGTCACCTTTTTCCAAATCAGGAGCTGTTTAGATAAAAAGTCTGTATATCACCTGCCTTCAATGCCAAAATAAATCTGGAATACATCACAGCAACCTTTCTCATTTAAGAACTGGTAGAGCTGGCCCAGGTCCATGTGGTTTCCTCTGTTTCCATGGGGGTCGAACATTGCTTCTTCAAAGCCGGTGAATTTGCGCAGTGACTCCACACCCCCACAGGTCTGGCCCGCCTCATCTGGGTCAATAATGATGTCCTCTCTATGTCGAATCATGATCTTCTTCCAGGTCAGAACCTTCACTCTGAAATGAGGGAAGGTTTGGAAATAAACACCTGATAAAATTGAGTCAGCAGGCTTTCAGCTACATAAATAACGCTCATTTTACCTGGACCAGAATTCCTCACAGGCAGACTGGTGACCCTCCACACACACGATGCCGGGCTTCCCAGGCATGCTGAACCCAGACAGGCCCAGCTCCTTGGACCACTCCAAGATGTTCTTCCTCTTGGACTTGTTGTAGATGTGGTGGCTGTAGATCCACAGCCGGCTGAACGTCTCCTGTGGCCGTGGAGAGGGAGACTCTCTCCTGGGAGCTGGTGCTGCTGATAAGCTCTCGTTTATGGAAGGCTGCAGGTTGTCTTTCACCCAGTCCACGGCAGCAAGCACACACACTTCCCCCAGGCAGTTTTCCATAAGGTATTTATTGAGATGAGCCTGGAGTTGAGTCTGCTGGGCCCTGCTGAGACCCGAGCACCTGAAGCATAAATAAAGCATGTTCTGAGGGGAATAAATAAAGAAATTCAAGGCCACTTTTACCTGAAATTCTGCAACTTTTTGGTGCAAAATAGAAAGCAAAAGTATATATGATCTTGACTGGACAACATGCTAATGAGATCAGCTAAAATTAAGCAAATTAATTACAGTAAAACAAAGTCTGACTGATGTCTAACACACCTAAATGGTTTAAGGAAATCAGACTATCAACTCAAAAGACCAAATGGATCATAACAATTCACAAACGAATTAGAGTTTGCTGGCGAATGAATATCCTGCTCCACTTTCCTCATATTCTGCATTAAAGATAGATGGTGTTCACTAATGACCTGTAAGCTAAAGCATAAATGAATAATGAGCTAAAGAGCAGAGGGAGAAAAAACGTGGCTCTCCTGTCAGATGCTGACTTTGCATTTTGTTTGTTTCTTTGCATATTCTTTTTTAAAATGATCAAAACTGTGGTGCAATTTTGAGTCAAAGCCAAAGTCAGCCGTGTAAAGACTCTACAGCATTTTTGGTTTGGGACAACTCTTTCTGCCAATAAGAGACAGTCAATAAATATGAATTCTTTTTAAGAAAATGTATCTCTGGAGTTCTGAAAAATAGATTATTTTTTTGTCAGATGGGCGAAACACAATTGGTCCCAATAATTTCATGCCACTGCTTTTGAAAAAAACAAATTCCAGTTATATGATTCTTCTGTTTTGATGATAAACTGGTTGGAGATAATGTCCCATAAGGACACGTCAGTTGGCTGGCTACTCACCTCAGAGTTATGTCCGGTAACACAGAGGGATACTCGGAGGGATACGCACAGGATAAAACGAACTCCGTCTGAGTGGGACACCAACATGAGATTTGTTTTAATGCAATAATATTGACAGTTTCAAAGAAAGGTAGACATCATCTGTCAGTTACCTCGTCCAACTTCTGTTTAAGGAGGAACTGAGGTCTGGACGGAGGAGGGCAGTCTGCGGGGGCAGAGCCCTCCACGTAGCCCCGGAGCTCAGCCAGGGCCAGCTGGTCACAGACCTCCAGCTCCTCCTGGGTAGGAAACATGCTGGTTAGCAGCTCTATCTCTGCAAGCTGCGATTCGGCACACTCCAAGAAAGACATGCTTGTAAACGCCAACTAAAGCGTCGACCTTAACGAACGAAAAAGACACTTCCCACGATCAGCGGTATTGTCGCTTGAAGCTAGTTGCTATCGTCGTCATTCTAACTAACCGTCTGCCGTTTTACAGTCGTTGTAGGAAGTTGAAGTTTGGTCTGGTGGAAAATAATTACATATTTCACTAAACTAAGTAAAGTACGTGGTACAGTTTAGCGTCCGGTCAACTTGTGTGACTGTGCCCGACATTTACCGAGCCTTGTTTCTGGTCGGACTGTTTTAAACGACGGACAAAGAAGAAAGAGAAACCGAGCAGGAACAACAGTTGCACCACCTCAACTCTCCGGTCGGCATGTGTCATCCGCTGTCTTTTTTCTTGTAAATAATCAGGCTACATTTCGCGAATTTCAAACCGTGCAAATCGGGTGTTATCAGTATATTGTTATATTTTCTGTCTGTGATGAAGACATGAAAATAATTATGTGAGGGTTGAACAGTTTATCTACAGAGAGAACACGAAACAGAAAACGGTAAATGTTTCCCTCAGTTTTTAACTTTTTTTAACATAATACGTTATGTTGACTGCTGTTGATATTTGTCATTAATCTCTAACTGAGTTTAGGTTAAAATGGGAAAGAAGAGAGGTAAAGACAAGACCCTCAGAGAGGAGGATGACATTGATCTGACAGGTATAAAAGAACCACGGTTATCTAAATGTATTGCTGTATAATGACTTGTTTAAGACAACAATTGTATGAAATCCCATTTTATGTTTTAGTGATATCCTGCAGACATATTAAGCGGGGAACAGAGCAAACTCTTCTAAAGAAACTTTCTGGCATTTCTGATTGGATGAGCTGTCAGGACTGTAAACACGATGAAAATAAAGAAAATATCAGCTCAACTCTACCACAGGACACCGAAGAGGAGGAAACCGTGGGAATATGGATGTGCTTGAAATGTGGCCATCGAGTAAGTTTATCTTGACCCTTTCATCATTCATATTTTGAATTACAGCTTTAAAGTACTCTGTACTCATATATTTATGTTTTTTTCAAGGGATGTGGAAGGAATTCTGAGGACAAGCATGCCATCAAACATTATGAAACCCCTCGGTCAGACCCACATTGTCTAGTGGTCAGTTTGGACAACTGGAGTGTGTGGTGAGTGTTTATTTACCACTGGGGATGTTATGTGCTTGAAAAGAGGTGAACATTTGCTTTTTTATGACACAAAAAATTCCTTCAGGTGTTACATTTGCGATGATGAAGTCCAGTACTCCAGAACGGGGCATTTAGCACAGCTGTTGACCAACCTGAAAAAGCAAACCTCGGCATGTTCCATCAAGACAGGAGAGAAAAGTAGGTACCAGTTGTTAGCCGAATGTATTTATCAGTGTTCCACTTCTTAATTACCTTGTCTGCCATGTTTGCTGATGTAGGTGTGAAGGAGGAAGTGGAGGAGTTAGAAAGTCAACAAAAGATTGAGACGGTAAACACGGAGCAAAGTGAGAACAAGGAGCTCAAAGAAAGGACTCAAAAGAAGAACACGAAGAAAGAGAGTGCTGGAAAAGCGCCGAACTTTGATGCACCTGAAGAAAAAGGTGGTGTTCCCGTAAAAGGCTTAAGCAACCTGGGAAACACGTGTTTTTTTAACGCAGTCATTCAGGTAAGGTTGTGCATTCCATAGTGCCGCTCGTTAGGAAAAAATCAACAGATGCTAAATTGCTGCTGTTGCCCTTTGCAGAGTCTTTCTCAGACACATCTCTTAAGACAGACTCTTAATAAAGTGACAGAGGAGAAACGGACTCTTGATATTAAACCCGCTGCCTCACTGGATCTGGTACGTTGCCATAATGATGTTTATTTTAAACCTATTCTGCGTTTTCATTACTTGAAGGCTTTCGTCTGTTGTGATTGCAGGAGCCCCTCGTGGTGCAGCTGAACCAGGCTGGACCTCTGACTCTGGCCATGTGTCAGCTCCTCAATGAGATCCAGGAATCCAAGAAAGGTGTGGTGACACCGAGGGAGCTGTTCTCCCAAGTTTGTAAAAAGTAAGTGGAACTGCTGTTTGGGCTGAAACTCCTTCATTCGATTTTCTGTTAATGATTTGAACTGATCCTTGCAGGGCTTCCAGGTTCAAAGGCTTTCAGCAGCAGGACAGCCAGGAGCTGCTGCGCTATCTGCTGGACGGGATGCGAGCCGAGGAGCTAAAAGTACGCAGTCAGTTATTATCCAATTTCCTTTTATTTCCACAGGAAACTTTGCTAAACTGACCAATGCAGCTGTCCAAGTGGCTATTTGTCACACAGGTGTAGACTGTTTTCAAAGGCCATCTGGTTAATACACCAGCTGCTGTGATTTACACTTTGAAATTATTCGTCTTTATTTGTTTAAATCTTTGCCAAAACTGCATCGTAATTTGATCAAATTTAATCCATTTTGTTCAAGTGACAAATTGCCTTAGTAACTAATTTATTAAGAGGCTTTTACTTGAATTTTTGTTTCCACGAAGCAGATGTTTAATGAAACACAATCGTGTGATAACAATATTAAACCGAGTGTGTAAACATATTATACATTTTAAATCTCATCTACAGGGATTTCGTGCTGATATTGGGTGTTTAAGTTCAGTGTTTCGTTTTTTTTCTACAGAGAATAAACACAGGGCTAATGGAAGCATTGAAACAATCGAGTAAAAACGTAGATGAAGAAGCCCTGAAAAAAATGGCTAAAGGTAAGCGGTTGGATTTGTTTTTGTGCATTTCACATGAACCATAAATTCAAATAACATTTGGTTTATTGGTTGTTTACGTGTTTAAGAAACGTGGCTTTCTAACCGCCGGTTGTGTTTCCAGAGTACGAGAAAAATGGTTGTCCCGGCAACATTGTTGACCAAGTTTTTGGAGGGGAAATGACCAGCACTATAATGTGTCAGCAGTGCAAAACGGTGAGCCCCAACGCTCAGAATCCTACAAAAAATCCATCTCCTAAAGATCACGTTAACATTTTTCATGACTTCACTCTTTCAGGTGTCTGTGGTGACGGAGATGTTTTTGGATCTTTCTCTCCCGGTTTCAGATGAGGTATTAAAAACCCGGGGTCCTTCTTATTTTGCAGAAAATGTATTTGTATAATATATTAAGAGTTTTCAAACAACCTTTTCTAGGCATACAGAAAGAAAAACCAGAAGAAAGGAGTCCCGAAGACCAGCGAGTCAGTGCAGGATGGTAGAAACAGTCCTGCTTCCACAAGTGGGAATGATGAAACGTCCTCCGGAGTGGGCAGCAAATATCAGCAAAAGAAGGCAAAGAAGCAAGCAAAGAAGCAGGCAAAGGTATTCAAGCGATTTATTTTAAAGAATGTAGTATGTTTTGCGTGATCTTTTTAATGGATGACTGTAAACCCATTTAACTTTTTTTAACATGTAGCAGCAAAAACGGCAGCAGAAGCTGGGCAGCAGAGTGACTCTGGACAGCCTGTCGTCCTCCGGCCAGGCAGATAGTGACCATACGGACGCCGATACAGAGGAAATGGCGGAAAACACTGACAAGCAAGCCAACAAAGAAGCGTGTGAGCAGAGTCCTCCACCAGCCGATGTGTCTGAACCAGATCAGAGCGCCGAGCAGGAAGAAAAGGAGGACTCATCAGGTTCATCGCCGGTCAACAACCGATTCACCGTCCTATCAGAGCAGCAGGACAGTCTATGCGACGAAATGTCCAGCCTGGATCAGGAAGGAGAAGAGGACACACAGCTGGTCAGTAAAATGGAAAGAGTCACCTTGGATGACGCTTTCATCCAATACTCGGAGGACATGGGGAGCGAAGATGAGCCGCCCGAGGCAAAAGAATACACGGTCACAAACCAAGACCCAGAACAGGCCTTCCACACGCTGGCCACCAGAGCCTCCCCAGAGAAGCAGGAATGCTCAATTCAGTCGTGCCTGTTTCAGTTCACAGAGGTGGAGACCCTCACGCAGAACAACAGCCTGCTCTGTGTCAGCTGCACCAAGCGCCAGCCCAGGGAAGACAAAGCCGCAGGTATGAGGAATGTCTCTCCACTGTAACGCTTCACTCATTTTAGATGTTTTTCTGAACTCCTAAATATGTGTCCCGTGTTTAGGATCCAAGAAGAATATCTACACTGATGCTTTGAAGCAGATGCTGATCTCCTCTCCGCCAGCTGTCCTAACTCTCCATTTGAAAAGATTTCAACAGGTTGGACATGGAAAGAAAGTGTTCATTTCATGCTTCTTTGATCCAGCTCAGAGCAAAAGTGTTTCACTGACTGAGCTGTCAGTACAGCTACTTTACTACTTTATTACCACAGCTACTTTAAAAAACTGTGGGATTACCAGTTGGTTTGTTTTATGAAGCCACTGAAAGACTTTAAATTAAACCTTTTTTTTGTGTTTTTCCCCTAGAACGGATACAGTATTTGTAAAGTGAATAGACATGTCCAGTTTCCGTTGATTCTGGACCTAGCTCCATTTTGTTCAGCCAAATGTAAGGTTAGTATGGGAGTCAGCTGTGTCAGGTATTTAGTCATTTTTCACTTTCCAAGTACTAACAACTTGTTTTTACACACAGAACGTCTCAGATGGAGATACCCAGATTTTGTACAGCTTGTACGGTATTGTAGAGCACAGTGGAACAATGAGGTCGGGTCATTACACAGCCTATGTAAAAGTCCGTCCTGAGTCTCCTAAAGCCCCGTCAAACAAACTGTCAACACAAGGTACGTGTACTGGGACTGGATAGTTAACAGAATAATAACTTTTTCCTAAAATAAATAATCCATCCATTCATTGTTCCCCTCAGATGACGTAGAGCCTCACGGGAGATGGTTTCATATCAGTGATACAAGTGTTCAGCCTGCGAGTGAGAGTAAAGTCCAGAGCTGCCAAGCCTACCTCCTCTTCTATGAAAGAATCCTCTAGTTGAAGCGTGCCTCAATGCTCAGGAAACCCAAATCAACCAACCAACCTGCTGCTTCATCTCCACTGCAAGGAGGATCTCAACCAGGGATTTGATGAAATTGTATTCATTTTTACATTTTGCAGTGTGGACATTGTTGCCTCAGTGGTGGCGCACAGTGTTTCAAGTGTTTAGCAAAAGTATAAATTGACAGATTAATGGGAAATAGCAATGAGTGCAATTGTATTTTTGTTGGTGGTCATTGAACCAAAGGAGCAGAGGTTTATTTTAATTTGGGAACAAAATCTGTAAAGCTTATCATTTTTTTTCTATTTTACAATTAAAACAAATCATGTAATTACATACCTCAGAATCAGGTCCGTCACGTCGTTTTTTTTCCACACTCACACTGGGCATGCGCAGTGAGTGCTTCTACTTTTTCCTGGTTTCGATGTCACATGACAAGAGGAAAGTCGTGCCTCGGACGATCAGAATCCCGACCCAAAATTTACTAATGTCAGTCATTTTGGGGTAACATGGCAGGTCAGTAAACTTGCAGCCACTTTGAATAAACATTTTCAACTACAGTAAACGTTTGTGGGGGATGTTTTTTTTTGTTTGAAAACGGGAATGGGTGTTTACTCCCCGCGATAGTTAAAGCTAACGGTCCGGCCTAGCTTAAAGTCCATCGCTTTAATAACAGATACAAATCTTAACATGGCTTTTAACCACAGGTGGCATTGCTTTTCACGGTAAACGTTGGCTGTTTGCGTAACGTTTCGCCACCAGGCCCGGTTGAATAACTTACCGAAACATGAGTCAGCATTTCGGTGATCAACTTAAGGGCTGAGTGGGAGCGTTGATGTTTCCTCTGGCCGGTGTGTGGGTCAGCTAAATATGATCCACTGTGTCATGTTCTCTCACCGGCTTTTTTCAGGCAGAATTCTTACTAATGTTTTTATTAAAGAAGACGCTATTGGCCCAGTCCACAATTTTTTATCTTTACAATCAAAATTTCTCCCGCTGGATTTAGTTGAAAAACGTTACAACACATTTATAGACCGACGATCAGAGATTACAGGGATCGGACATGAATTAAAGTCTGTGGCCACAAATTGGAACTCAGAAATGTATTTTTTAGATGCCATTCAAGCTGGGCTTTACCCACATGGTGCTCAGGTGTCTTACAATGATGCCTTGGGATCATTAACAAGAAGACTGATCGTGTAATAAGAGTGAAACATTTGCTTCTGAGTCAGCACTTTTTCTATATATTTCTTTCTCATGACTTCAGTGTCCAAATTATTTAGGGAATATATAATTAATCATTTCTAAGTATATGTTTTTATGTATTATATACTTATAAATGTGTGTTTATTTATATATTTTTTCTTTAGATGTGTGTAATAAAGCTAGTTTTGAACTTAAGTTTAGCATTACGGGTACTTCTTTTCTGATTTCGCTTGCTTCTCTCATCCTCCAGGCTGAGCTGATAAACGACCATGATGCTCCAAGCCCCTCGCATGTCGGTGTTCACCTTCCAGTCGGCGGTGCACAGCACCCATGTGCTGCAGTGTCTGAATGAGCAGCGGCAGCAGGACGTCCTGTGCGACGTGACGCTGGTGGTGGAGGACCGGAGCTTCCGGGCCCACTGCTCGGTGCTGGCCTCGTGCAGTGAATACTTCCACAGCCGAGTCACCAATGTCACCAGACAAAACCCCATCATCAGCCTGCCTGTGGAGGTGTGTGCAGAGATGATACTGAGGAACACTTAGAATTAGTTTGTTATCTCAGAACATGTGTGAAACACCCCAATAAATAGTTTCTCTTGGCCCCTTTTTGACATAACTGGGTGTCATTGTTGCATTTCTATAGTGGAATGACTTATGACTCAATTTTCTGCCTGTCCCTTTCTCCACAGGTAACCGTGGAAGGGTTTGAGCCTTTGCTTCAGTTTGCCTACACTTCAAAGCTGCTCTTCACCAAAGAAAACATCCACGCTATTCAAACCAGTGCTAAATGTTTGGGATTTCACAATGTGGAGTCAGCCTGCTTTGATTTCCTCATCCCAAAGTTTTCCGATGGTCGAAGAAGCTCTGGTGAGGTCAGGAAAAGAGGCTGTTGTCAGAATTGGGAGCACGGTGCCGGCTTTGGCTCCAGTACCGGCAGTAGCCACGCAGAATCATTTGAGTCCCGCAGCCCGCTGCCTTCAGACGGCGATGAGCAAACAGACATTCCATCGCACCGCTCGCAGAGCACACAGGGTCAGGCAAACAGTGTGGAGGAGCACTTCTGTTTGGACAACTGCGGGCCACAAATGGCTTCCTTATCTCTGGAGTTTGCGGCGAGTGGCGTGTGCCCCGTGCTGTCCCTGCCGTGCGCAGGCCCCGACAAAGCCGACCACCCCTCCCGGTTTTGCGACACAGACATTTTACAGATCGGTGACGTGTCCAGTCAAAGTGAGCTGAGCGCGGCAGGATGCGGCTTACATTGCGGGCTGTCCACCGCAGGAAATGGGAATCCCGCAGAAATAATTAACATAACAGCAGGCAGAGGTAATGAACAGCCCGTTGGGGCTGAAAGCAACAGTGACCCAGGCTCCTGTCCGGTCAAGATATCTGGGATGGAGGATTGCGCAGCTGTTTTAGAGCAGAGTAAGAATGGCCTGGATGAAGGGATGGGAGGGGATCTCTCTAGCCCAAACTTAACTGACCTGAGCCAAGAAGAGGGGTTTGAGGACCGGAGTCGTGTGGAGAGGGAGGTAGCCGAACACCTGGCCAAGGGGTTTTGGTCCGACTTGTGTCAGTCCCAGGCTCCACCTCAGTCCCTGGATCCAGTGAACCAGAACAGTATGGCAAAGGCGTCAGACTTCCACTGGCTAAAGCAGCTGGATCTGACCTCCAGCGTCGGAGACTGTCCCTTCCTGCGGGACCTCGGGAAGACCGAGGATCCCGGCACACAGACGGACGGCCTGTCCCAAGCCGAGAGGAGTCCCTACATGTCCTCCTCACTTAATTCTGGGGAGGACTCAGAGATGGACACGGATGGAGACACCGAGGCCAACAGAAGAAGAGCAGCAGAGGTCAGTGATGAACACCCGCTGTTTTTACATTGGGTACAGGAGTTTATGGGATGAGCTAAATGCCACTTTTAAACCTATTTTCCTACAGATGCAGCTCCCATTCCCAGTGGAGCAGATCTCAGAGGTGAGCAGGAGTGCGTTCCAGCAGCTTCTGAAGAACCACCGGCTGACTCCGGACCAGCTGGAGTTTGTCCACGACGTCCGGCGGCGGAGTAAAAACCGAGTGGCGGCTCAGCGCTGCCGAAAAAGGAAACTAGACAGCATACACCAGCTGGAGTGTGAAATCAAGAAATTGGTAAGCTGGCTGTTATATGTTCAGTATGCCGAACACAAGTTCATTTACCTCAATCAATGCGATTACATATGTTTGCGTTTTTAAATTTGTCAGATTTAAAAAAACACTTCTTAGTCTTCCCAACACCAAACTACCAAAAACAAAATGACATCACAATTAACCTTCTGGAGCTTTTACACAAATATGAAGGCTTTTCACATTATGTCAGAATTAGGGTTGTCAAAAGTATCCATACTCGAAAAAGTATCGATACTAAAATGTTGTATCCGGATACAATACTCATTCAAAAGTATCAATACCACCGCGCGAGTCCGTTCGAGCCCCCGCGAGCGCGCGCGCGACGCGGACCTGCCGTCGCTGCGCCCCTTCTCTCTGATTTATTTATGTATTCATTTACGTTGTTTATGATCATTAACAAGACGTTAGCCTTGCTAGCTGCGACTAATGGCTAATAATAACATGCTACCATTAGTCAAGTACATATCCAACTCCGCCCACATCCAAATCGGACGTTTTGATTAGGTCACCAATAGAAAGATCCCAGGCAAGAAAATCCTAATTGCTTCATGGCAATATAGACATTGATTTAAAAATAGTGATCTAGTTATCTAGCAAACACTGAATTAAACTCTATCCATAATATTATGTTAAAATAGTGGATGTTAAATAGGTTTGTACAATAAGTCCAAACAAGTTTAACCAAAAAATATTTATTTCTCACTATTATGAAGGTTGGAGGGATAGGGTTAGGGTTAGGGTTAGGGTCATTAATGTGGGCCACCATAACATCAGTAACAGGTCAGTTTGAAATGAAAGACACAATTCAGTTCAATTTTAGGGTCTTTGTTTTTATCCTTGTGGTATCGAAAATGGTATCGAGTATCAAGTATTTTCCTGAGTATCCGTATCGAGTTGAACATTTTAGTATCGTGACAACCCTAGTCAGAATAGTCCAGCAGCCTATGAACCTGGCTTGAGTTATTGAGTTATTTATTAATAATGTTGTACACAGATGAGTCTTTTATTTAGAAATGTGTGCAGGAGGTTACAAAACAAGCAGTCAGACTGTGTCACAAATGTAATGGACTAGAGAAAGAAACCAGGCTGGAGTAGCATAAATAGTGGAGGAAGTGATGGAGCTTGCTGATCCTGCTGTCTCCACAGAAAAATGAAAAAGAGAAGCTTCTGCAGGAGCGAACGCACCTGGAACACAACCTGGGCGAGATGCAGCAGAGCCTGCGCGGGCTCTGCAAGAGCGTCAGCATCGATTCTGACCCCGACCAAGACCACTTGCAACTTCTGGCCAAGCTGTCTTCGCCAGACTTCCCCGTCCCCTCCCCCGGCTTTGAGGAAGTGAAGGAGGAGCCGCACATCAGGATCGAGATGGTAAGTTCCTCCTCGGAGTGCCATCAGAGCGGGCCTCCCTCAGACTCGGCCCAGGCAGAGGAGCCGGGGTGCCCTGTCCCCCCCTCCCTGCTCACAGCCTGCCTGGACATAACCAACAACCTATGAGAGGGCTCCAGATGGGCCCATACAGGACCACCCTGAGTTTATACTGTAATACTCTTTACAAATACACTTGCCTTCTGAATCATTTTAAGCCTTTTATCATCATTTGAAACATCTGTCTGTTGTCCACATTTGTGTTCCTAATCTGCATTTTTCTGAGGTAAACACAGTATGTTGAACGTTCTGGCAATTTTCAGGTAGTTTCCATCCACAAATTAGGATTTCAAGATGGCTCCCAAAAAGAGATGACGTTTTCTCAGGGAACCTGACAACCGGTGTTTTAAATCTTCCTGTACACACATCCTAATCAAGCCCACACATACACACAGGAGGTGTATCATCATTTTTTCACTACTGTGCTCTCTCTTGTATTAAATATGCACAAAGCTTATAGAATATTTCCCAGGTGTTTCTAAGTAATTTTTTTAACAACATTTATTCGAATGCACATGTTTGGTTAGAACAATTGTTAGACATTTGAGAATTGGTTCCAGAGGGTATGAAATGTTACTGGATAACATGTGCCTTACACTGTAGTACAGTTCAGAAGAATCCAAAAGGACAGGTCATGCTTTTGTGTTCTTGTCTCAGCACTGTTGCACATTAACCCAAAGCTAATATTAACGGCATTATCTTAAACTGCATGATTTTTTAAAATAAACTGCTTTGTTGAACTACATATAATAAACATTTTGTTACCTGTCTGTGTTTTATTTAAACTCACTAGAAAAGTTCCCATTAATTATTTAACAGTTTCAGTTTGTGGCCAGTAGAGGGAAGTACAGCTCTACACACAGAGTCTTTTTATCTTTCATTGAGTAGAAATCTGTAACAGAAAGGCTCCTCACCACGTCTACGCAAACTTGAAGCTTTATTCACAAGCAATATTTTCAAGAAGTAAACTAACCTGGCAGATTGCTGAGGGCAGACTTAAGGATGGACTAAACCTGTGTTGCACTGCTTGTGAACCTATAACTAAATAATTTTGGAGATTAAGTCCATTGTCCGCTGGTGCACTTTACAGATAAGAAATTTAAAAAGAAAAAGTTACGTACAGAAGTAACACATCTGTATTCTGACAGGTAAAAGTGTTTCTTTTTGTCCGTCAGTTTTGATTCATATTTGAATGTAAAGATCCATATTTTGTGAATCAATCTACCATTTTCAAAGGCATTTGTTATCTTTTAAAGACAAATGAAACTCAGCTATCGCCTCAGGTATTATTAGTGGGACTATAAACAGCTCGGAAACATGTCCACCAGCCAAAATATCGCGAAAAAAATAAATTAATAACAATGCAGGGAAGTTCATCTTTGACGTTCGCAGGAGCAGCAAACTCCCAGCATCCTATTTTACTATTTAAACGTTTTTTTTAGATGGATCAGTAGCCACAATCCTATTTGACCATGACTCTTTACTAACAAATTCAATTAAAGCTCATTCTTTAGTCCAAGTTAAAGTTTCACAATTGTTCTTTGTAGGTGTTCCCAAGATATCGAGATCAAAATCTGCATTAAAAAGAGAGAAATGCCTCCTGTGGGTTCTGTTACTGTCACATTGTTCAGCTACATTCCTCAGAAAGAATTAAGATCCATAGAACGACTTGGTTAATTGATAGTTTGATTTGAAATGCCCTGGCCTTTCTGAAACAACAGTTGGTCGTGGTGTGAGAATCTTTTCTTTGTTCTCATCCAACTGACACTGGACAAAACAATCATTTTTAAAAGGCCTTGTGGCGTTGCAGCAATTTAGTTTTGGTCCTCTTTTATGAATTATTAATATTATATATTTGAATGTACTTGAGAACAATGAAAGAAAAAATAATGATATTGTTTTTATCTCAAAATACAATCTGCTGGGTTAAAGTGACAACTCCACTTGGAGTCACGAAGCAAAAACAAACAAGAAAGCAAACTGAGAGGTAGACCCTTTAGTCAAAGGGACTCAGGAAACATGAGTCTAAAAAGCATTTGAACATAATCAGATGATGATGAAACTGCAGTCTGACTTATTAAAAAACACCACTTTTATCCATCGATCTTCAGTTGATCTTGCCGAAGATTTTTTGTTGTTGTTTTTTCCAATTTGGAATTTCCCACAAGTCTCTTATTCTCTTTTCACTTTGTCTGTTTTCACACAAGTGCAGTGTGTGTGCAGTCAGACGGGATGAGAGCCCGGATCTAAGGCGGAAATAGCTGTGCGGCATGGCAAGGTCAGAAGCCCGTAATCCGCGGCCTCATTCATGCAAGATTAAAAACCTGCTCCCAGTTCTGATTAAGAAGGCAGGGTTAGAAGATTAAAGGCCGGCAAACAAAATGAAAGCAGTTAAAGCCCAATCCTGGAATTCATCAGAATACCAAGACCTTAAACAGTCCTAACGTGAGATTAATGCAAAAGCCCGCTGTATCTGGTTTCATGCATCCTCTGTGTCAGGGCCCACCTTTTTTCCCTTTTCCCATCAACACTGAACATCACTTTTATCGATTTTTTTAACCTCCTTTTTTAAATGTTTCTGGTATTGTTATTGAATGATTGAGTTCTCCCATTACAATCAATTGTTTTATGAAATTAAGCATTTTCTCACAATAGATTTCTGAATTTTTAGGTGCATTTTTTTTGTCTAATGATTCTGGCAGCCCTCCTCTGGCAGACAGAGTTAAGGTGGTCAGGATTAGGAAACTGGAAGGAAAGTAAAAAACAGGATTAAGAAATAACAGCTGCTGGAAGCCTGCATGCACATGAAACTACTGAAGTGGATATTTATGCTAATAAAACAGAAAACTGAGAAGGTATTTCAAAGATTTGAGTCCCACATCCCTGTCCAATTTAATTTTGACTCCCAAGAAAAATGTTTTAAAAAGTTTACTCACACATCTACATAAATGATTTTATTCCAATCAACCAAACATTAGCACACGTTTCAACTCCAGAAGTGAGAGGACAGAACTGGAATTTGACAAAATAGTGACATTTATTTAGTCGTAAGCCTAAACAATGACACAGTTCTTACAACCAATCTCAACACGAGGTCCATGACCTCCTTATGGAGTCCTAAGCTTGTGAGCGACTGCATCCCCGCTGATTACACGCCCAAGTGACGATGAACTTCACTTTGAGGGGAACGCTGAGAAGGGGGGCTGTATCCCATTGACTGGATTATATAAATGAGGGCCATAATACTGTAATCTCCAAGAGAAATGAGAGAAAGTAGGGGACGTGCCGACCCCAGCTGGCCAGAACCCTGATCTGCAACGGTCAGATTAACAGCTGGCTGGACAGTGACAGATTACTCTCACACTTTTTTTTTTTCCCTTAACAATCCTCTCTGTCTTGCATTTGGACAACCAGATCAAGAAGGAACTGTGTCTTTTAGACAAAATCTCCCAGAGAAGTCATAATGTATCCGAGAGGGATTATTCATGGTCATGGTCAAATTGGTCAAACTTAGGAGTGTCAACAGCTGACTGGAAAAAGCAAATATGACAGCAGTCCTTTGGTTCTTATTAACTTTGCTATATAGAGAGATTTACATTCAGCTTAGCAGTGAAAAAGTATTGTAAAGAAAGTCATCATCCTTCCGAAGCGATCATGTCATGTAGATTATTCCTGCATTTTACTTGGGTTTGTCGAGTTCATTCTAAGAAAAGACCCACTTGTTTTATAACGGAGGGCTGGTCAATTTAAAACCAATCCAACGAGTGTTTGGACCAAAGAACTTAGTTAGAAGATGCACTTCAGCTTTTTATTTGAGTCAGTGAGGCCGGTGGTGGACAAAGCTGCTTTGTGAACAATTTCAAACATTTTAGAAGGGCTGGGATTCATTATTATTGATAACTGTACAGAACAGCAGTGAAATAGTAATTCAACTCAGTAACTTTTATATTTTCTTAAAATAATGTAATTTCCCTCCCCTCCCCATTTTCTCCAACATTATCAAGCAGTGTAGACATAAGAGATATCAGATCCCCTTTTTCAGTGACAGTAAAAAAAGAAAAGACAAGTAAGACAATAATCTGATCCTGTATCAAAAGTCATTTAAGGGTTTAAAAAATATCTTCATTGTTTTTGTAAGAGTTCATTTGACTGACGAATCATACAATTTCTGCGTCTCAAAAAGATAAACACCCTATTAAATTAGGTGAAAATCTACATTAAAACATATTTGTCCTTTCCCTTTCCCCTTGGATGATCACACATTTTTTTAGTTCTAAATCACATAAACAGCTCGTCATATTTAAATAGAAAAATGTTCTCATCCGTGCACATACAACAAATACACCTGACAATCAAAACGGTGGTTTCATATTTACCCACAGGCCAGTCTTTGCTAAATGGGTACAACAAAAATCTTGGGATTTGATGCCGGATGCTTGCGCTTTCAAGCCCAAACTGGCATTTTTTGGAACAAAGCCTCTGATACTGTCAAAAATCCTAATTCGCAAATGTATTTTGTAGTTGTACTTTGTGAGGTGTTAGCAAAAAAAAAGAAGCCTTTTACATTGAGGTAATGATTGATTCAACAGTCCTTAGCCATGAAAATTCTCTGACATCATCCTGAACGTGGCACAAATAAAATCAAACATAAACAAAACTAGCAAGGCTCAGTTTGACCTGTTAGACTGAAAAAAAGGGCTGCTGAGGTTCGACATCAGAGCTGGGTGAGGATGTTGTGTAAAGGTTTAAGCACGCAAGCAGTGAATACAGGTTTGATTAGAGCTCAGAGCAAGGAAAGAGAACTTTGATTCAGAAAGAACACATTTTGCAAACGTGGAATATTTTGTTAGTCTGAAGCTGGTAGCTTTGCAAGCAACATGTCTGCATGTCTTAAATAGAACTCTGAAGATAAAAATAAGGTTTAAGTTAGTAAGTGAAATAAAGTAGGTTGTATATAGTGTAAGCAAACAACAATAACATGAAAAGATTAAGTAATTGATGACATAATCTCTCCGTTTTCAAAAGAAGTATTGTTTCTTAGGAAATAATTCTCTCAAAAATATTGAAAATATGTCAAAATTAAATGTGAAAATAATGCTAAGTTTGAATAACATACACATTTTCCTTAACCTTAGATATTTTTAATGCAACCCAAAAGTTCTGCGCATTAACAACATCTGAAATGTCTGTGGGACCAACAGTCAGCAGAGAAAAGGTGCCATGTTCTCACATAACCTCAGTAATCCTGCAACAATCACGGCATGACATGCATGTTTAACACCTGGCTATCATACAAAAAACAAACAGAGAAATCAAAGACATAAAGCCACCTCATGAATATTACTTTCAGGGAACACTCATCCATAAACAATTTAAAAACAACTGTCAATGAAACATGGACAACCTGTCAAACATACTGCGGTTTTAAAAAAGAATATAGTAATAACATCTGACATTATATATTTGTCCCACTATGTCATGGCATAATCGTGACATTCTGGTCTCTCACAACAATTTTACATTGCTTTAGCAAAAAAAAAACGACAAAAAAAACAGCAAGGCTCAGATGGTCGAGTACCAAAAAGTCAGGATTCAGACTTAGGGATTCTAATGTATTCGTCATACTTATGTGCTCTACATAAACCCTACCAAAAACATGAAAAAATGTATGTTTTGATTGTAACAATGCAGTTTCACACATTCATACTGGAGATTCTCATTGGCCCACCCATAACTGTGTGTAGACAATGACAACACAAACGTGTGGACAGGTACACAAACGTCTTTGAGTCGCCTTGTGTGTTAATACTTGTTGTGCCATTCGCACTGGCCCACACTTACCTCTTCCATGTCCACATTTTTTCTGGACTTGTAAATAAACTCTCCAATCGCAACAAAAACTGAGAGGACTAGTCCGGCTGCCAACACAATAAAGATCCCCCCGATGTTCTCCACTCCCAGGGCACTGGCCTCCTTGCTGTCCTCTTCTGGACATCCATTCCCCCTCCACCATTTCTCCTTCATCATATGGAGCTTCCCTTCTTCCTGAAGTTGCAAGATGGCAATGGTGACCTTGTCCCTGTAAGGGGAGCCTATGTGGGAAACACCAGATTTATAGAGACCGGCGCGTAGCATTTACGGGAAATGTTTTCGTCTGTTAATATTTTGTCTTACCAATTGGGGTTCCCACACCGTATCCCTTTGAGTCGATCAGGCCTCCGATCTGTGTGAGGTTGCAGTTGCGCTGGCTGATGTACTCGATGCTGGTGGACTCCATCAGAAGCGCGTAATCGGTTGTGAGGACTCTCTGGATGCCCTCCCGGTTGTTTTTCACCAGAGCTGTATTTTTCCTGCTGCTCATAAATGCCCACATTTTCTCATAGGTGGAGATTTTAGATTTCTGTTGAAAGAGAATCAGAACTATGGGCAATCCGTGGCCGAGACAGGAGTTTTTAGCACATGATGTCACTGAACATTTAGCTATTGTCTGAAAAATGGCAGGAAATGGGTGGTGAAAGGTGAGCGCATGCCTATGAAGCCCATAGAAAAAAAGATCCTTTTTTCACTGTACGTCCAGTTAACCGGCAGAATATGCTGACAGGCTCTTATTAATATCTGCAGCTGTGACCTCTGACCCCACTCTGTTTTGATCCAACTCACTCATGTAGGCACAGATGACTGAGTGATGGCTGAAGGGTGAGAGCTGTCAGGCTAGTCAAATTAAAAGTGGTGTTTTTTTTAATCATCCCTCTCATTACTTTTCTGTTTCTTTAAAAAAAAAAAAAAGAAAAGAAGTTGTTACCTTAAAAAAGGTCATAGTAGAGCCGTCTCTCACGGCGCCGTACTCTATTTTGGTTTGCTTGGCCAAGTCATCGGCAGAGTCGATGGGTGAGTCCATTCTCTCCACCGTGAGAAAGGCAGCCAGGTTGGCCGTGTACGAGGAGATTATGATCAGTGTGAAGAACCACCATATCCCACCAACTATCCTAGTCGAGAGGGCTTTAGGCATCAGTTCAGACCCTATAAGTAAAAAACTAAGTTCATTATCCATTTTAAATCACATACATCCTCAACGTGGACTTCTACAATACACACCAACATCCAGTTTTTTATTTGTCTGACCACAAACATGATCAGAACTTGTTTAATGGGCCCTGTCAAAAGGGTGCTTGTGCAATGGAAATGATAACAACATGAAATATTACATTTAAAAATAGAAAAAAAAACTATTGTACCTTGCTGCATAAGTGCTCCAACTCCAAACCAAACACTGTTTATCAGAGTGAAGTTATTTTCCACCACATCTGAGTCTGGATTACAGGGGTGAGGGTTGTACCACTCATATGGAGTGAACCTGAAAGCGATGAGTAGAAAAAGATGGGAATATACCAAAAACAAAAAAAAACTACAAAAACAGCTGTGATTTACTCAATAAAATGTCCATTAACTTGAGTTTTTCAGTTCTTGCTGATGCCATAAAGAAAACATAAAAGGCCACTCCATTACTCTCAGTCAGGCAAATGTTTGCCTCATTTCCAATGTACAGCATACAAGTATCATATAGTCCGTACTTGAACATTGTATAAGAAATCTACCCAAATAATGGAGCTAAAATATGTTGGTCAAGTTTTGACCAATTATTACATAGTATTATGTCCCTTTATGGCTGTTGCTTTATATTAAAAAGGTAATTTCCATATATCCCTATCATTGCTTGAGCTATCAATATAGAATATCGTCATTTTTAGCTTCTCCGTGGTCATGTCAGTGGCAAGGCCAATGAAAGAGTTTAGCTAAAGTCCCACAGACGTTTACCTGGCAATGACGAACAGCACGCAGCTGACCCCGAGGCAGGCCAGCAGCACATACATCCAGATATCCGGAGACAGCGGATTGAGGAAGGAGAACACTCCTGGATTGGTGCCGTTGGGTTTGTGGTACAGGATGCTGATGCCCAGCGTCATGAAGGGCTTGGAGAAATCTATCACCTTTTCCCTCACATATGTGATGGTGAGAGGGGCCACGGCGAGGTCAGCCACCTGGGAACGGAACAAGGCCTCATTCAGACCATTCTGTGGACTCTATCAAGGTCTTCTCCAAAGACTAACCGATTGCTACTCACGTGGTCAATGAGTTCTCGCACCATGCCGTTCCACTCCCCCTTGTCATTCTGAGCTCCATACTTTCCATCTGACACCAACTTTACCTCATAGGAGAAACCCAAAATGTTGGAGAGCTCTTTGAGCAGGTCCAGGCAGTAACCTTCGAAGCGGTCGTTCCCATATAGCGGCTTATCAGATTTCTTGTACATAACGTAAGGATTTTCCTGGTGAAAGACACAATGGATGGGTTAGTTAGTTTTTTGTTGTTGTTGTAAGCCTGATCAAATGCTCATCTGAAGCATTCATGAACTCTTCTACGTCATACCAGAATCGTGGTGACAATAAGGGTCCTGTTGGCCATTGAGTCTGTGATATTCGTGGAAGAGTCCTTGTTGGTTTCTGATAAATTAAGGCCCGTTTGGGAATTCCACACACCAATCTGCAAAAGATAAAACATCTAAATAACCCCACTGACGTGGAACCAAGCATTTGTTGTTTGGACGGACCCTGGAGGGATTGGGGAAATAATACAAATAAGGGGAGAAGAAACAGGAAGGTGGAAGCCAAAATAAAAAAAAATAAAAACTAACAATCAAAGAACTGGGATGTGACGGCCATGAAAGGAAAAAATTACCACACCGAGGGGACAAGGAACGCAGTTTAAAAAAGCTTGAAATGACACATCCAGTGCAGAAATGTTGAACATTTCCTCCCACCAACCTGAACCTTGTTTTATTTAAAAGGAGAGACACCACAAAGAAAACAGGGTAAAGTAGGAAGTAATAATAATCCTTTATTCTGTCAGAACAGCTATAATACAGACCTTTTTCCACACTTTGTTCAGGCGGCTGCCCGACATTGTCTTGCAAAAACAATAAGGAGAGATCATTTTAAGTACAAAGAAACAGTCTGGCAGGACATTCACAGGTCAGAGGGTTTACCTTTTCCAGGCCATCCTCCTTCAGGCTGATCACATCCAAGTCAAATTCTTTCCGTAGGCCATCCGTCTTGTTTGTAATTATTTGTCCCGTCAAACCGTTCCATTGTGCCTTTGGCAAAGAGAGGACAGAGAGCACAGACGACAGGTCACTGAGTTTTTATTTTAGTCTTTTAAATGAATGCAAACACAAGAAAAAAAAACAAGTTAAATAGCTCCTGCAAAATGAATAATTGATGCGTTCTCCATTGCAAAGAGAACGCTAACAAAGACCAACTGCATTTTAATAGATATTTTGCATTGGCTGGATCCTCGGCGGAAATATTAAATGTCTCTGAGTCTGCCACATTGATGTAAATGGTGCAGGCAGACTGTCTGACTGGAGAGCAGAGGCTGGGCAGCAAAGCTTCCAGATATTTGAAATCCGCTGACAGTGAAGTAAGCTCAGTCAAGCTGAATCTCTTATTACAGATTTAGTGTCTTTAAACACACAAAATGGCACCGGCATGTAAGTAATACCTCACTGAGGGAAGAGTTAACGACCACACATCTACAAAATGCCATCAACACAATACTTGTGTCATCCTAAATTGTGTTGGGAATACAGGAAGTGGTGTACACTAGTCCTAACAGATGTGAGATAACGCTGAGCCTTTTTACACATCTGTAAAATCTGCTCGGCCCTAAGTCCAGATTTATACTTCTCATTAAGTCTTGTTCTAAATCCTTACCAGTTAAAAGTATATTTGCCCCAGCCATGTGCTGTAATCATTATTATACATGTAATGATGACTTTGATCTTCTCCGATTGGAGAAGAATTAACACACAGATCTCAACACCCCACTGAGACCTTTCCTCCGTGGATCGTCCATGAACATGAGCCATGATAGTTGCAGGAAACAGTGAGCAATAAAGTCTGTGTGCTCGTCCCACGCTGCCCCCAGGCCTGGATGCTTCACAAACATAATATGATCTGTAAGGCTGTCAGTAACCTTTCCAGAACAAGCCAGTCTACTTTATTTGCTTGAAAATAGAACTCTTTATGCTGCTTCTATTTTTTTTAGAAAATGGAAGTCACCGTTGACTAATGACATAGACAAATGTGTCTTTCCCCCTCTTACTGCACAGCAGGAGGCAATTACAGTTGAATTTATCAATTGCCCAGCTCCTCTTTTTCAGCCCTATAAGGAGCGATTGTTACTCCAAAACATAGCTGCTATAAAAAATATATGACAGCAACAGCACAAAGAATCAAAAGAATATATATTAAACATCCATCCATCCATTTTCGTAACCGCTTTTTAAACATTACCAATTAAAGATACCATTGGATTATTTTAAATACATATTAACACAGTTGAGTTGTATCTTCGATCAGTTGGTGTAGGAGAAAGCTAGTCTAATTACATAAATACAAGGCCTCTCAACATTTTGGTATCATCATCAAACATAATCAAATGATCTTGTTTCCATGGGTTTCTCACATCTTCAAGCCATCTTCACCCACCTCTGCCTCTTACCACAATTATTCAGTTATCTCGCTGCCTACACACCTGCACCTCTTTTCCCTACTCAGATCCTTAATTATGGATGTAGACACTCATCAGTCACAGCGTTAAAGCCACAGGAGGAAATGATAATGAAGTTTTGTATGTAACTGGAGGCTGTGCGATCCAGAGCGGGGACCTGAACCTCCGGTCCTCCAGGCCTGCTGTCCTGCAGGTTTCACATGTTTCTCAGCTTCTACACACCTACTCTAGATGGAATAGATTAATTTAAAAGATTTTAAGGTTCTGCACGAGTCGCCAAATGTTGAATTGGTTTGAATGAGGTCTGTCCAAGCGGCGAAACGTATAAAACCTAAAGACGAGCAGCCATTACTGACCGGTGTTTGAGAGCCCTGTTCTTGGGTTAAACTGGTCTATCTAAAGTAAACAGAGTTTCCTCCCACCAACATTATTCATGCAATGGTCTTCAATCTTGTTGTGACTTTATGTAGCAGGCCACACAAGTATTTTTTTTTTAAAGATATTGTTCTTTATAATTAATACATGTCTTTGTGTCCATCAATAAAGAGAATGCATAATCACAAATTAACATTTCAAACTCTACTGTGAGCTTTTGAAATACTGATCTAAAGTCCAATTACAAACAATTTGCAGTGCCTGTACAGCTTCAGTCCTCATTTATTCCCACGTTGTCATCTGGGATCTTTGCTTCCAGCTGAGAAGCTCATTGGTCAAAGAAACATCTAATTAGACAGTGCAATAAAACAAGAAGCCTATTAAATTCAAATTGCGGCGTCTTAGCAGAGATGAAAAATTGGGCTTTCACAATTAAACCGGGATAATTAACACGGGACAGAGATGCTGTTTGTCAAACTGGCTGTTGACCGTTTTTGTCTGATTGCTTAATAGTCTCATCAGCTACTCAGCTGAAATCATTCACACTTAATATTTTGTTGGAGCTTCTTTAAGGTTCCTAGCATGGCATACCAAAAATTAAAAAGAGATGTCGCCATTTTAATATAATAACAATAAAAAACACCATATTAATATGCAAAATCCCAAGAAAGTGTGAATGATGTCAGTTGTCATCTCTTGAGAAAAAAAGCCTAATCTCCTAACTTTATTGGTTCTGGCCTTGTGCCAAAAGGAAATGACAAAGATTAAGAAGGATGAATGGATAGAGATGGAGAAGTCATGTGTCTTTTGTTCACAAATGAAACTCACATCCTTCAGCAGGTTCATAAAACGAGAGCCGAAGCGCCAGGGTTTGTGCCGGTGGCACTGCAGGGAGCTGACGGTGATCTGGGAGGTGCGTTGTGAGGCGGCCGCCACCATGTAAACAGCGTCATACATCAGAGCCGCCTCAGTCTGAAAGACAAACACAGCCATTACAATCCATCACTTGGATTCACATATCACATCAAGCACTGGCCACATCCGTGTTAAAGTATGAGCTGTAGCTAACATCTGTTGAATCACTTATTGGTTGTTTGTGTTGTCAATCTGCTTTTCTGATCATTAGCAAACGTCTTTTATATCATTTTTTCATTTATACATTTTTTTTTCACCAACAAGGCACAACTGGCATGTGAAACAGGCTATTAATGTCATATATACAAATGTAACATCCATCCATCCATTATCAATACCGCTTATTCCCTCATGGGGTCGCGGGGGGAACTGGAGCCTATCCCAGTGGTCAACGGGCGAGAGGCAGGGTACACCCTGGACAGTCCGCCAGTCCATCGCAGGGCAACACACAGGACATACAAGGACAAACAACCACTCACACTCACATTCACTCCTAAGGGCAATTTCCCCAATCTCCAATCAGCCTAACATGCAGGTTTTTGGACTGTGGGAGGAAGCCGGAGAACCCGGAGAGAACCCACAGACACAGGGAGAACATGCAAACTCCACCCAGAAAGGTCCTGGTTCCCCCGGGATTCGAACCCAGAACCTTCTTGCTGGGAGGCGACAGTGCTAACCACCACACCACCGTGCCGCCCACAAATGTAACATTGACTTGTTATTTCCCATGTCCACCCAGGTAGATCTTTAAGACAAAGTGTATCAAACTCACGGTCATCATTCCCTCCATCATTCCAGTCTCGACTTTGGAGGGAGCCTGCAGTCGCTCCATGGCCCACCTCTCTAACACTGAGGCCACTTTGGGATTATCCACATTCAGAAGCCTGAACCCAGTCATGTTGACCCCACTGTAGCGGTAGGGCTCCAGGTCAAGGGCAAACAAGTCCTGTACAGATTAACAAGATAATCAGTGCAGCCATGATGCAATTTAGCTTCAAAAACAATACAAATGTGACCTCCGAGAGGAAGTAAATGTTGGATTAAATGGCGGAAAACCATTCAACATAATATGGAATTATGCCAAGGGCACGGAAACATCAAGCAATCTTATCCTAAAACAAACCACAAATATTTGAATTATTAGACATAATCTTTGCCTCACGGCATCACCAGGTGAACACTTTCATCCAAACACTTGTTTGGATCAGAGCACACTTGATGGAGGAACAAATCTGCCATCACCAACATGGATTTACCTACAGTATTTAGTTTTTCAATATGCTTTGCAAGGGAAACATAGTCAATCGGATTCCTTATTCCTTGTGCAGGTAATCAGTCAGAAAAGGTCCTATTAAGAGCAGGGATCATTTTTGAAAAATATATTTTCTTACCAGTGTGGTGAAGAAGAAGTGATAGTATTCAGTCATCATCCCCATGGACAATATCTAAATAGAAAGAGAAACAAAGTATGTTAGAGTTGCTTAAGTCGGAACAAAGCATGTTTCTTTCCACTAAAACCAACCAGCCATGTCTTAAACCACAGCATTTTCTAATTCCCTATTGTTGCATGGTTTGTATCAACAAGTATCCGAGCCAGAATGTGTCACATTTTGCTCATGGTAGCAGTTTCTTCAAATAATCTTCTGAGCTGCCTGGCTCAGAAATAGGGACTGCCTGGATTCAGAAATGAACAGAGGATTTCCCAGAGAAGATTTCTAAGGGATAATTTGTCTAATCTTGCTCATAGTGAATATTCAATCAAAAATCAATGCTGAAAGTGGATAAAATAAATGAGACTATTCTCTTTTGATTGAAATATCAAACTTAAATGTGGCAGAAACCTTTAGCCGAAATCTCTGAAGTCGTTACAGAAACAGATTTTCTTTCTACAAACTGGCTCACCTGCTTGAGAACATCAGCTGATGTTTGGTAGGAGCAGTCAAAGATGACATAGAACTCCTTCCCTTTCTTCATTTCTTTCAGCAGAGGACGAGCATCTTTGCTTCCCGATGGAAGCTGACGGATCTTAATTTTAATGCTGTATCTCGATGGAGCTTTGATCAACTCTTGCAAGCGAATCAGCCCTTGAATTCAAAGTAGAGTATTACAAGTGTTAAATCATCATTAGAATAATCCAATTTAATCACTCCAGCTTCAAGTCTATGATATTCATGTCATATCTGTGGTACAGAACTGAAAGACACTGATAAATTGGATGGAATTAGAAAAGAACAACACACACTTTGATATTCGTAATGCTTATATAATTGCTTATTGCTTTAAGTAATCAACAGAGCAATGTATGCGAGTGTTGCTAAAGCTAACTCATCATTGCAGTATCACAATATAACCACCAGAGGACATTAAGTTATTCCTTACATGGGGACATTCTGTATCTAAAAGTGTTTATTCATTAAGTTTTCTTTGCAATTTGGTTATCAAAGTTCAAATGACCTATTACCAAATTTTGATCACACAATTTAGACATGATTGGTTTAAAAAAAACTTTTATTTTAGATTTCAAACATAAGTGTCTGCTAGTGTCTACTAGAGGCCAATAGCTCAAAGTTTGTACAGAGAGCCAAAACTATAATTCCTATAAGTAGTTTGTTAAACTGTATTTGTTTCTTGCCTTAAAAATGAAAGTATGGATTCACTAGCTCAGTTTAAAAAAAAACTGAGCCAATTATTATTCTATTAGGGGTTTATAATGAACATTAAAAGCTCATATTGCTGCTTTTGTGTCAGGTGGTCACAAGCTGATTTTGTTAATGCCCGATTTCGCTTTTGACAGCAACAAAACCTGTTTAATTAAAACTGGTTTGACTCACCGGTTGCATCCTCATAAACCACAGTGACTGCTTTCCACTTATAGAACTGCACAATGTCCAACACAGCTCTGCTTATTGAGGCATATTCGGGATGGAGGTTAATGTAGAAGCTGTCCTTGTTGTCCACTGATGGGTGTTTCCAGCGGGTCTGGATGTGAGGGACTTCCAGGGCGTTGCAAATGGACTGGACCGCACTGACCGATGAGCTGTGGGAGGGGCCAAAAACAGCCCCAACTCCCAGTCCCAACTGGTCGCAGGCTGGGTTAAAGAAACAGAAAAATAACAAATGACCAAAAGGAAAGCCAGTCCAGTAAGATTGCTTTCAGAAATAAGTGATCTTTACCTCTTCTCGAGGCCTCAAAACTGTCGAATAGGTTTATTCTCTGGATGTCATAGGTCAGCGTGGTGTTTGGCATTAAAGTCCGATTCCTGTTTATGTTGGTTACAGCAAATTTAAAGGCTAGTTCCTCAACACTAATGGGCTCATTTTCAAGGGTCTCAAAGATGCCCCCTATAAGAAGAGAAAACACAGGGTTCACACAAAGGCAGAAAGGTTATTGATGAAATGACAGCAGCCATATTTTCATTTATTGTAGAGTTTTTTTTTCTTTGTTGTAACATGATCTTATGTTGGAGGATTTAATTCTCACGGTTGCGTAACGTGGCCCAAATTCAAGTAGACTTTGCCACATAATGCTTACCAAGGGACCTGGTTGAGATGACAGGATTTAGTCTCATTCTGCAAAAGGTCTGACCTTTCCCTACTTGAGCGTATTTACATGCCCTGTTTTTTTTTTGTTTTTTTCAAGCTAGGATAGTTTGGCTAAGAAGTCATGACACAGATTCATATCCTTGTAGTCCAGTGGCACAGACAAAACATCTGAAGTCCTGCAACATGCGTTTTTGGCATTGTGAGAGGCTAACTATTTGACTTGAATTGTCATAGAATCCAAGCACTAATTGATTTATCTCCTTTTTTAAGTCTTGCGACTATTTAAAATTCAGAGGAACTGAGAAACCCATGAACACAACAAAGAGAATATTTAACCAGTCTTTGAGATTTGTCATTGTATATATTTCTTGAATTTAAATCAGAAAAATGCTCAACAAAAAATTGTGGACCTTATAATGGCAGAACACTTTCAATTTCAGAGGGCCATTTGGCCGATTTCAGCCAAAAGGAAATGTTCATAACTTAATTTGTATGAAAAATTCTGTCTTTCTTTTTTTTGGTCCTGTTTTTACTCCATTAACTGGAGTTGGAACACAACCAATCATCTTTTTAATGTAAATGTTTGCAATGCTTAGTGGTAAGATTTTATAAGTATGGACATGCCCAAAACCAACCTTTAGCTCTTCTGACAAAACAAATAAACTGACAAGGTTCCCCTGACAAAATGCTATAAACAAAATGCACCATTAGTAACATACTAAACATTTTTTTCAGGTGCTCTTTTTTTACTTTATGGATCCAATAAAGTAATTTTAAGTCATTTGCATCCTATCTTCTTTTCCTAAGCTCCTTTTCTTGACTACCCTGTGGTGTGTGTCTATAGCACAGAAACTACAAATGTTCAATAAATCATCCACAAAAAAACTTTGAATTCAATGTCTATACAATCTTGTGATATAAAATAAAACATTTTATTGTCTCAGACTGCTCATTCAAACCTTCCTGCCCTAACATTTATCCACATGAATCACATTTAGCATTGAAATAATGAAGTGTCATTATGGAAACTGTGGCTCGTTGGGATGGTGTTCTTTCCTTTTGTTTTTTACAAAAGATGGTCCAGTGTAACCGATCTTAAAGGAAACATTTTAGCTCTTTTTGTTAGTATCAAGAGAATTGAAATAACTCGTATCATGACAGCTGGTCACATATTTTCTGGGTATTTCACTAGTAAAACCACAAAGACATTTATTCTTTTACACTTCCATCATTTCAAACTTCTCATTTCTGAGTGTGGAAATCATTTATTAGTTTTAGAAAAAGTAATAAGATCTACCAAGAAAGAGTGCCATACACCTAACATCCTAATCTATCACGTAACCGGGGAAATGTGCCCAGTTACAGTGGTGTTAAATGCTGTCTGATATTGTTAAGCCGAAGTGAGATCAGAATTGTCAAAAATTGAATTTCAAGATGCTTTTCTCTGTTCAGCCATCCTTCTGCTGAAATAGACATGTGCAGCATGGCCACAGAAAGGAGAAAATCATCCTGAACTCAATCCAAATCCTAATCCAGCCTGCTGCCCCAGAAAGATGGCTGGCCTGCCACAGCTGGCAAATTCCACATTTATGTATATATGGTCTACCACAGCGGGCAAAATGGACATATATATGTGTGTGTTCAATGTTTCACACATATGACATGAAATACATTTGGATTTGGGCCAGAAAAAGTGATCGTTGGTCACTTGAGTGTCACCACTTTTATATCAAGCAAACACAGAATTTTGTGTACAAGAAAATTCAAAATGCTTCACATAAAAGATTAAAAAAAGAAAAATCCATTAAAAAGGGAAAGTTTAAAAGCAGAAATTAGAAACAAGTTAAACTAAATAAAACAGATGAAATGCCTTCCATTGACATATACACAGCTAAATATGACAATATGACAGTAATTATATATTTTGGGTTAAATCTTGGATGACAATCTCATATTCATGTGTCTTCAGAGACACAAGCTCACTGCTGAATGGTTTATCATCTATTTATATTTTTAAAAAATATACAAAAGAATTGTTTGCACATTTGTGTGAATGAAACAAAGACTATTGTTTAACATTTTCAAAACTTTGACACATTCAGGATTACCCATTGATTAAAATGACCTCAAACATAAATGATGAAATTCCCATTTCAGTTTTTCTCAGGTTTGTAAATGACCTTACTTCACAAGTGAGGTTGCAGATGGTGATAGGTCACTGCACTTTCTGACAGTCTTTGAAGAATCACCTGCCAAATTGTAGTTGATTTGGGAGGGCAGAAGTCCTTTAAAAAGCTCCCCTTGAGACCCTGATTGTGAATGACCTTTTTCTTTAGTGTAGCATAGCCTCAAACCCCAAACTGAGAGAGCCTTGTCTGGACTCGCCGGGTCTAAAAAGCATGCTTGAAAGTGCCAATCCTAATTATGGTTACCAAGCCTCAGTGAGCAGCTGCTGGGATCTGTTAAGGTCCTTAATTCTGTCCACTGACATACAAAATTCAAGCAAAAAGGAAATACAATAACCATCTTGCTTGTAATTAGCTGAGAAAGCATGTACCATCTCCCAGGGTATTTTTAAAGTAAAATAGGAAATAAGCCTCCTTTGACCATCTGGTCTAATTTGCTTGCTCCGAGTGCCAAGACTGCAGCTTTATTTAAGGTCCAGAAAACAAACCTATCCAAGTGGCAGCAAAACAGCATTTTCCAATCAAGAATTAGTTTCTTCCTCATGCAGTAGTTAAAGAAGACTGGGGAAATAGACGATCTTCAATATGCTAGAGACAAACATAGCTGTTTCTGTTTAGACTCTAAATTACATTAATTTGTTATTGAATGTTGATCAAATGCATTTCTATCCTATGTAAGACCTTAAGTAATCTGAATACACTGAACACACCCTGTATCTATTAATATAATCTGAATTCATAAGAAGATGACAATGATAAAACAACTAAATAATAGATGATAAAACATAACTGTTTTGCACCAACACCAGACCTGTTGCCTTCAAAGGCTGATGTCAAATCGATTTAGATTTAATGTCACTCTCTTCATCTTTAAAACTAAAATGAAAGGCAAATAATTAACAAGAAAACAAATTATTTATCCTTTCTATTTCCACTTGAAACAATGTTGACATTGTGTAAATAGAATGACATTTCAGATTTTCATAAAGCATTTGAGGGCATTGAGAGAGACGGCTTTATGTCCTCAGCTGAGAAGTGTTTGGCAAACAAATCCATATTTTCTACATCAGCAGATGAATAATAATCTAGTGAAACAGCTACTTGAGGATAACGCACATTATTACCTGAGCAATGATATCTGTAGTGTATCTTTCAATATCTGGCAGTGGTTTAGCCGGGTACCTTAATTCTGCTGGTCTCTTGACTTTGATGAATCATTCATTTTTTTAAAAACTAGTTTGCAGTGATTTTATTTATTCGTGTGACTGAAAACCCAGGTTGCCCTTTCCAATTACAAAACTTCACAAAACACCATGCGTATCACCAGAAAAATAATTAAGGCTGTGGCTGCCCAGGGCAGCAAAAGCTGTGGTCCAATGAGGTTGAGTAAACATTGTCTGCAGCTTTCTGTTGCTTTTGCTCTCCAAAGAAAATAGTTCTAGTGCACAGAAACACAATATTGCATCTTTAACTTAATATTGTTTCTAATTATCATTATCACTTCTCTAATTTTGAAAAAATATTGGCCAATCCATCGGACCCAAATGCAACGGAATGGTCACAAAGCTTGAACTGAGTTAACATTTATCACTCTGTTTTTGAAGCTGAATGTCTTGGCAATTATCTATATTTACGCATCATTTTGGAAGAAATATCTGTATGTAGGTTTATTTCTCTTTAGTTATTGGAACCAGGCAAATTTGGACGTGTGAAACCTGTCCTGTTGATACCTTTCAGAGCTGCATCTTAAGATTTCTGGACGAGCTTTTGGTTATGAATGACTCACATTTAAATATGTATTGAGCCACGAAACCATGACCCAATTTAAAAGGCACAAACAGCAAACACATGCCATGGCTGTAAGGCTTGGATTTTGGCCGGTTCCTTTACAGGCTAAAGCATCATGTTGCAAAGCCACACTACATCAAGATATCGTTTATTTATCATGACTCCTGATCTTATTTTACTGTTAAAATAATTCCACAAGTGATTTGCTTGGGGCGTCATTAAAATAGAAATAAGATCCTAATATTGTCTGTTTGAAGATTACACATGGACCAATTTACTTCCTCCATTTCCCAGACTGTTGGTAATGAAAAAGTACAGAGAGGAAAAGGTCAGAGCTGCCAAGGATGAATTATGATCCACCATTTAAAGTTGAGACTGTTCACATTCACATACAAGCAAGCAAAATTCCCCGCCCTGTTTCTCCACTGTTTGATCTTTAGTTTTTTTCTGTACTAAATTAAGATTAAGAAATTGAAAAAAAATGTTCAATAACAGCCATTAAGTAATTTCCAATACAATTTTCAGGATCACTGAACCTCCACCTTGTCTTTAACTGGCAAGTTAGAGTTGATGTAAAGTCACAGGTGGCAAAAACAAAAGATTATGTTCATGCATGCTGCAGAAAAATGCTGAAAACCCTCCAAGCTGTGCTTTTAATTGGGCCCCTCTGTTCTTCCCTTTATTGCAGAGCGCCATCACAACAGCATGATTTAGCTGAGCGGGCTGTTTTGAGTCCGGAGGCACAAAGAAGAAGATCTTTAGGCCATAATTTAAATCTGTTTTCATGACTTTGGTGTCTCCAAACTATCTCATGAAGGGGAGCCTTTTAAAGGCAGAGGAACACAATGACGTAGTGTTGCTTTCCTCTTCTCTCCCCATCCTGGGCCAGTACCCAATGAGAGCTCCCACCCCCCCTCCACCCCCCCAGCATCAGCCCCACCTGGGCCCATGCCAGACTGTGAATGAATGAGGAAGTCCTGACCGGTCTACTATGCCCGTTTGATGTAGAGCACTGAGGTCTCTCTGTTTACAAGTTGCAACCCAGCACCAACATTTTTAAAGGGACTTTAAATCTGCCTGGTATACGCGTTCACCTCATTTGCTCATTTTTTTATCGGGTAAACGGTGAAGTGGGTTTGCTTCTCCCATCGGCCAGAATATCAAATCAATGTAACAACTGTATCAGATGCCTTAAGTAAAAAAAAATAAGCAAGAAGAAAATGCATTGGAAGCCACAAGCTGTTGCTTCACTGCCCTCCCCAGTGATGAGATTTGGCCTTTGCCTAAGTACCATATTTGTGGGGGAGACTTTGTGCGTAAAGAAGATTAGCGTTAGTTGTTTAAGGGCTTGGGGGAGAAGCTTTACCATTATTGACAATCCCAGTGAAAAGAGTGAAAGTCAGTCCCAATCTGAAGCCTGCGTTTGCCAAAACAAGAGAAACATTAATTGAGCCTAGCCACAAACCATATGGGAGAGATTAGGAGGTGTGGGGGTCATGGGGAGAATGACAAGGATTATGTGGTATTTGAGAGTGATAGACGATTGTGAGAGAACAACAATAAATAGATCGGATTGGGGCTGCTGAAACAGGGACGTGGTACTTGCCTATTAGTGTTTTATAGTTATGCAACACTAGAATTTCTAGAAGTAAATGAAAAAAGAAGATAAAAATATTCAGTCAGATTTGCCTCTGGCATCAAACAGAGCATGGAGTCCTGAGGCCTAAATTTAATCAAGACATTTTAGTGATGCAATGTTCTAACATGCATAGTTAATGGGAGAGGAACAAAGAGCCAGCGAGTATTAATTTGCTTGCAAATACAAGCTCATAGTTGATAAATTACATCATAGATCAAATGGGAATAGCTGAAGAAAGAGCGTTGTGATTTCTATTCACAGATGTCCCCGGCCATCAGTGAGCATTAAGGCTAAAAGGCTTTTCGGATATACAAGAAAGAAAAGTTTACAAAAGTTAAGATGACACTGAAAACTCTTTATTATTTACCACTCTCTGTTTCGGGTTTGTTTCATGTTTGCTCTCAGGAGAAAGAGAGTGACTCAGGCCCTGGCTAACCAAAGTAGATTACCATGATTTACCCATCACTCTGTCCTCAGAAGCTCTCCTCCAAAAAACGTAAAAGCGAAAAAATCCAACAAACAAAGCTTAAAAGGATTCCGCTCACCCAGCACAACAATGAGGACGGTCTCAACAGAATTATGGCTGACTTAAATAATGGTAGATATTACTCCTTTATGAAACCATCCTGCTGGCACGGTCAGAGCATTAACTTAAGCCTGGGCAGTTCTGATTTCTGCAGATTTTCTGCTGCAACAGGAAGATCATCTCTGAATTTTCTGAGTCTCTGAGATGCAGGAACCGAGCTGTTTCCTGTCCATGAATGGCGATCTTTGTAGTCTGCATGCATGAATTATGATGATAATGCCCAAAAGGCGTCCTTATTTTGAATATAAATGTGTGTATGTGTGAGTATTTGCTTTTACAACTTACCAATTCTCAGAACTTGCTGTGAAGTGAGCCAAAACTCTGCCATAAAGTACAGCAGGGAGAAGAACTGTCCCTTCCTTTTCACCATTGCCATTCCTCCAGAGTTGTATTTAACATTGAAAGGATTTATTTTCTTAGTAATTCATGCTGGTAACTTGCCAGTCCTTGTTTCCGTGGCGAAAAGAAGCTGGTCCCCAAACCACATCCATGCCTCACACATTATGATGGAATCAATTCAATAAATAAGAAAAACACACACTCCACTTGCAGTTGTCAGGAGACTTCCAGTTTGCCCATTCTAAAATCCTTTTCTTTTTTTACGTCGTAAGGTTTTTTCTCCAGTATGTTAGTCCTCAGAAATCCTTCTTATCATGTTTTCCCCGCGCACACTTGAATTGGAGGCTGCAACTGAGGAGGAGGACCGTGCGCTCCTCTTCATCTGTCAGGCTCACAAACACACACAGAAGTGTGTCTGTGGGCAGCTGCCAGAATAAGGGCAGAGTTGGCACATTGCAAAAGGAGTAAATAAAAAAAAAAAATCAGATCACATTCAGAAACAGTCAACATCTGTTTGGTTTTCATGAATAAGTCAGCAGCTGATTTATATGAATATCATTTGTTTAGAGATGTATAAATGAAATCTTGTGATGCTGTTGCTTTTCCCCTGTTAGCATTTGTCTATATTTCAGTTTTGGGGTGCAGATGTTTGCATATTGAGCTCAGTGTCTGTAAACCAGGTTCTTTAACCATCTGTGTTCATCTTTCTGGATCTTTTCCTGCTCACATTCACCAGTTATCTCAGGACTTTTATTATGAAATCGAGCTCACCCTGTTTCCTGTATCATCATCTGTATCTATAGCTGACTTGACTAAGCTGAGCAACCCCCCCCCCCCCCCCCCCCCCCCCCATCAAACGCTCAATTGAGGGCACAGTCAAGCCGTTGATCCGCAAAAATGGATACGTCCTGAAGATTAACTTCAAATCTGGCAACATTCGACCTCAGCAACGTCTTTGCTTTGTACACCGAGGAATGATTAAATCTTTGCTCCAGAGCTGATGGGAATGCAGATTTAATCCACAAACTGGTTGGTGACGCCCCCCTTGAAGATTAACCATCTCAAACTGTTGATCTTACGCAGTATTGTAGTTCAATAAATCGTGCTCGTGTTGCTTTGCTTTATTGCATGAAACACAGACGTTTGGGACAAAACTGAGACGTTCTTGAGGGTGGTCTGTCTAAAATTTCACTTTTGTTATCATCAAAATGTTATGCAGTCATAGCTTTTGCATTTCCAACAGAAAGTTTTATACGGATTCTTTTTTGGCCCTTATGTATAATTTAGTTTCATGTTAAACTAAGAGGAAAGTGAGCTGAATACACACAAAAAGTGCATTATCCCTATGTAAGGGTTATAAGTGAGTGCATTGTGTTCTTTGCTGCCATCTAGTGGTGCAAAAGTGCAGCACAGACTGTTTCAGGCCTCCACAGGCAGCAGGATGCATTTAGCTTTACTGAGCTCTGATCACTAACTGGGGGTGGAATGCATGCTGTACAATATAGTTTAAATTGGATTATTAGACAGCACAAGTACTTTTCTATAAAAGAAGGTTTTGAAGTGTGAAGAGACAAACACAAGTTGCAGCAACAAAAATGTGAATAAGAGCAAAGCAATACATTCTTTCATCCTTTCTCTACCATATCTTTAAAAAAAACTGATGTCTGTCAAGGAAGCATGAAAAAACGTCAACTCAGAGTTTCCTTTATTTTAAATAGTATCTTACTGATCATAAATTAATGTGATATTGCAGCAAACTGAGATTATAAGGATATATCAAGACAGGTTCATATTTCTATACATACACTATACATACACATATAATGGAAAGCTTACCAATAAGATATACAGAAATATTTAAAAAATGTGATGAAGATAGACAATGTTAAACATGTCATCCCATCACACCAAAGTTTCAAGAAAGTATCCCGTCACTTTTGTTTATAGTAAAAACAATGAGATGATGTCACTGGTCATCTTTTGCACAGTAAATTCTAAAGATATGTTCTTAACAGACAGATTGAACAAGCCATTTTGTAAAAGAATGAAGATGAAAACCAGTGATGATGATTCAGCTGATATTAAAGTTCCGGTTTCTCCTTATATGTACATTCCTGAGCCGCTTCCCCTGTGAGACGCTGGATGAATCCTCGATTTTTGGTATGTGATGAAAACAGGAGTTTGTGGAACGGGGTGAAAGCTGGATTGGTAGGATGGAGTGGCGTTTCCAGTATAAGTTGCTGAGTGTGGAGTGGTGTTCTGGGTTATATATAAGGTGTTCCCAGGACTGTACAGGCTACCAGTGGGCACCGAACTCCTCAGAGAGGATCGATTAACCGTGCTGCCTTGATAGAACAAAGACGTATTATCAGGAGGACCTTGATTATAAAGCATAGCCGGGTTGATCAGGGTTCTGTTGTTTGTCATAAGGTGGGGGACGTGTTGCAGTGCTATGGCCGGCTGCTGTCCAAAGGATCCGTTGCTGTGCTGAGAGGTCTGGTGACCAGTAGACGACAGGCTGGGAACGCTTGAGATGGGATGATACCTCATCAGAGCGGGCTTGCTGGGCGTTGTCTTGTAGTTGAGTAAGTCCGCGGGGTGGTAAACATCGAACGAGCCTTTGTCTGAGGGCAAACGGCGGCAGACAAACAGCAAAGCCGAGGCAAAAAGGAAGGCGCCGGTCACCCAACCGATGTAGAGGGCCTCGCCCAGCTCCCTCCTCTGGGCATCGATCAGCAAAGGGTTGTAAAAATCCCTGATGATGACGTGTCCCGTCCACGATACTGGAATGAAAACGCAGATGCAGGCCATGAACTGCATCGCGCCCGCGACCAGGAGAATGACGGTTTTGGCCCATTTATTCTCCTGAAAACAGGAGGTGCATCTCATCCCGGCGAGTGCCCCCAGGAGCCCCAACCCCGAAAGGGCCACGGAGCAGCACATCAGGCCCCGGGCCGCCTGCAGGTCCGGGGGCAGGAACAGCAGCGAGTCGTACACCTTGCACTGCATCCGGATGTTGGCCTGTCGGTAGCAGTTCATCCACAAACCCTCCCAGCGGGTCTCCATCACGATGATGTTCTCCCCGATGAAGGCCGTCACCTTCCACATGGGCAGGCCCGTCGTGGTGGCGGCGCCGATCAGCCCGATCAGACCAACGCACACCGCGGCTATCTCAGAAGCACCGCGAGGCATCGTGTAGTTTCCAGGAGTTTCCAAAGTTCCACTAGTTCACATCTGCAGAAATAAGGATCCCAAGTCTCAAAAAACAGATAAAAACCTTCAGTCAGCGTGTGATGTGTCCAGTGCAGATAGAAGCTTGTTTGCTGTAAGGGGGCAGTTTGTTGTGGGGAAGATGCTTTGTGATTCCCTGATTGGCTCAGAGACATGGAGGTCCTTGTTTTGTGTTTATGGTTAGTCTGACTATGGTGGTTCTCATTCCTCTCATTTTCTATGGGAATTTTTTTTTTTTGGAAGCAAGTCAGTAACACATGAAAACACTCTGAGGAGTTTTTTTTTTTTTAACACGCCATGTTTTTATTTTTCTGTATTTGCATGGTACAAAAATCAAAGATTAATTTTACACATCATCACTACACAACATTTGCAATTCTTGTTTGGTCCAGAAGGGGGCAGAGATAACATTTTACATGATTCCATGAGAAACAATCCGCTTTTACAGACAGAAACAGAGAAGTATTTTTGGGGTTGTATCATTGTTTGAGTTCTATTTCACAGATTAATATAAATGCTACATTTGTGCGTCTTTCTTTTTTCCTTTTTTAAAAGTTTTTTTATTTTTTTATTTCTTCCAGTGGGACTGGTAGTTCTATTTCACCTTTCATTCACATTTTCTTTCTGGAAGTGAAACTAAGTGACCTATCGAAATGTTTCAGTGCTCAAATCTTCAGAATAATAATCAGGTTAACTGGGAGTGGGTTCATACTTTAGTTTGCTTATATTCAAAGTGACTTGCAAATTTGAATCATGATGTAAGCCAAACTTCCGGCTTCTTAGTCAATACTCATCTCTCTGCTGAAGTTCCCACACCTTTAGAAAGCAGGTTTGCAAAGATTATTCAGCCTATTTATAATTTCCATCAGTTCTCTATCAGCTGTTACAGGACATGATCCAAAATTTAAGAAACACCTTTGTTCTAAATACAAATGTCTAAATATTTCCAGTCCATTGAGTTGCCAGTTCAAGCTGCAGTGTCCAAAGTCAGTATCATATGTCATATGTGTGTCATATGTTGTCTATTACATGTTATAATTGGCTCAAATAGTAAAAAGCAAGATTTAAAATGTGGACACAGCAAATGTTGCCTCGAATTCTTGCCTATTAAAGGTTCCTGTAACATCACAAATGTAATATTTCTGAAAACCTAATTGGGCACACAGTTAAGACGCAACAAATGGGAAAATCTATACATAAATACAAAAAAATACAGTGCCAGAGAGAGAATCCGGTGCTTCTAATTAAAATACATCAAATATGACATTTTTGCTGTATTTGTAAAACATAGTAAAAACTTCTCAGAATATTTCCGGTCAAAATCACGTATATTTTCATTTACCTGAAAAATAATGATTGCACAGCCAAGTTCAGCCATATTGAAAATATTTTTTTTGCACATAGGGACCGTCAGAGTTCATTATCAGTGGAGGTGCTCAGAGGTAGGCGACTCCGCTGCGGACAGAGGGGTGGTAGGAGTGGTAGCTGTAGTTGGTGGATGCTTGTCTTGACAACATGGGCTGGGGCCTCGGCTGAGGAATCATCATCATCGGCTGAGGCTGGAGGGGCTGCAGAGACTGGGGAGAGTAGGCCCTGTAGTCTGCGTTCTTGTTGTAGATGTACCTCTCCGAGCGTTTGTCCTCAGACTGTAAGTTACAGCAGATGAATATGCATCCTCCCGCAAACAAGAAAGCGGAGGCCACCCAGCCGATATACAGAGCCTCTCCGAGCTCCCGGCGCTGGGCGTCGATCAGCAAGGGGTTGTAGAAGTCCCTGATGATGACGTGGCCGGTCCAGGACACGGGGATGAGGACACAGATGCACGCCATCAGGACCACGCTGCCCGCGATGATGAGGACCAGGCGTTTGGCCCGGTCGTTGTTGACGATACACGAGGTGCACTGCATCCCGATCAAACTGATGATCAATCCGAGGCCACCGAGGGCCACGGAGCAGCACATCAGGCCCCTGGCCGCCTGCAGGTCCGGGGACAGGGCCAGGAGGGAGTCGTACACCTTGCACTGCATTCTGATGTCAGCCTGCCGGAAGCAGTTCATCCACAGGCCCTCGTAGCGGGTCTCGAACACGATGATGTTCTCCCCGATGAAGGCCGTGACGCGCCACATGGGCATCCCCGTGCTGGCCGCCGCCCCGATCAGTCCGATCAGGGTCAGCAAAAGACCCACTATCTCCAGGGCTGAGTTGGCCATCCTGTGTCCTCTCAGGCATCCAGGCTCACGGGGAGAAAGGCGTGCTGTTGCGCGATAGGGGGAGATTTCCTCTGTGGAGCGGCTTTGGATCCGGATGGAGGAGGAGCAGGCTGCTGTTCTGCACGGCCTCTTCCCAGTGGATTTTACAGGAGGAAGGCCGGGGGTGTGAATAGTAACCTGTTGCTAGGTAACTCAGGCTTCCTGGCATTATTTTCTTTGACCGCAGAAGCTTCTGTAAGCTGCCACTTTGTTTATTCAGAGATATCGGTTTACATTCTCAAATTTCACAGGCAGATACAAGTTATGACTCCTTGGAATAATTTCACACTTTTTCTACCTTTAAAGAAATATTAATTAGATTTATTGAAAATATTTTGTGTGTCTCAGCTTGATGTTTAAATTCAAAATCCTCACTTCCAGAATAGAAATTGATATCGATACATGAACACAACTACTGACCCAAAATCCAAAATGATATTGGTGGAACATTTGGTAACGTCTATGTCTTTGTCATGTGTGTGTGAGAACATGCGTGAGAGAGTGTGTTTATTAATTAATGGACAAAGGTGTATCTGCGTGTATTCATTATTGATGGAGCTAATGTTCCCAAGTGTCACAGTTGGAATCTGATTTCTTGTCTTGGTTTCATGAGTCGTTTAAAAGGTAAAAAGCAAACAGCCGGTAGCTGAAGTTAGAGTTTGGTGTTTGTGCATTTGTATAGCGGGTGGACCCGTTTTAACAGTCTGGTTTAACCAGTTCAGGCACATTTCTAGGGAACAATAGCAGAGACAGCACTCCACTCCTCATTTGTTTGCCTAACAGAAACAGGCAGAGTTTCTGTAAAAGCCTTTGAATGGGGCTTTTTACCTTATATGAATAAAGTCAAAACAAAAAAAGACTAAACAAACTGTCAATTTCAACAATTATTCTTTATTTGAAACTGCTGTTGACCTCATTTGTTTGGTGTCATTTTGAAAACATAGGTACATTCCTCAGAATAAACACAAATCATCTGGAGACATGTGAAGAAGACACAAAGTGCACAAATCATACTCAAAGAGCAGGTTAGCTGAGTCAGCAAATGCCGGCACGTACATCTTTGTTTTATCAAAAACAAAATGATAACCGTGGAAATTTAAAAGAAAAAGTTCCAGCATTTTAACAAATACCAATACAATTAAAAGACAAATAAGTCAGGCACATCATTTCTATCTCTGGAATAATTCTGCCCACTTTGAGAAAGTCATGAAAAACCTCTCCAGAGACGGCCTGTTGGTCTCAGTCTGTTTTACCCTCGTCAAGCCCAAAAACTCCCTAGTACTGACTTGGTGTGTAGGCCACAGAGAGGGGGGGGGGAGCGGAGTATGGCGGCTGGTAGTTGTATCCCGGCTGGTAGGAGTATGGCTGGTATGAGTAAGCGGGTTGGTAGATGCTTCCCCCGGGGTTGTATATCACCCTCTCGTCTGGTTCTTGGGTGCGTGGGGCGTGACGACACAGCAGAATCACCCCGGCTGAGAAAAGCAAAGCGGAGGTCACCCACCCGATGTAGAGGGCCTCCCCCAGCTCCCTCCGCTGGGCGTCGATGAGCAGGGGGTTGTAGAAATCCCTGATGATGACGTGTCCGGTCCAGGAGACGGGGATCAGCGTGGTGATGCAGCCCATGAGGAACAGGCAGCCTCCGGCCACCAGAACGATGTGTTTGGTGCGAGCCCGGTGGTCCACCACCTTGGTGCATTTCATTCCCACGGCCGAAACCACCAGAGCGAAGGTGGTCAGGGCCACGGAGCTGCACATCAGGCCCCGGGCCGCCTGCAGGTCCGGGGGCAGGAACAGCAGCGAGTCGTACACCTTGCACTGCATCCGGATGTTGGCCTGTCTGTAGCAGTTCATCCACAAACCCTCCCAGCGGGTCTCCATCACGATGATGTTCTCCTCAATGAAAGCCGTCACCTTCCACATGGGCAAACCGGTCACGGCCGCCACCCCGATCAGTCCGATAAATCCGATCACGAGGGCCACGACCTCGCAGCAGACCGCGTTGTTCTCCTTCTTTTTCTCCAGTTTCATTTTTTCCTCGTACACCGAGTCTTGGTAATCGGCATAGTTCTGCGCCTGCTTCTCGTCGTAGTACGTGGGCGGGTAGGTTCCCGGGTAGGTTCCCGGGTAGGACCCGGGAGGCTTGCTGTAGCCGCTGTAAGCGGTGTAGGAGGCCATTGCGGCTGATGCCCAGAGCCAAAGATGCCGTCTTTAGCTGTGCTCCGACAGCCTCTGGAAAGAATCTGAGCAGGAAGACAAGTCAAGGAACTTATACACCCAAAGAAAAAACAACCAACGATGCAATGTGGCATTACTGGTTGGGCTGCTTTACAGCCATCAGATAAACGATGGGAGATCAATGAGAGCTGCTTCTATTGGCCGAAATGAAACGGTCACTATTTGCAATCAGTTTTTTTGGTCTTGTGGAAAGTACTTTTTCACTCCTTAAGCAAGAGATAATAATAATATACCTTTCTAAAATATAAAAGGTTGGAAATGGAAAATTGAAATCTTGTTGCCTGTAGTGATTATAACTTATAAGAGAAACTGTCATTGAATTTATGGCATCTTTTATCCCTGAAAGAAAGGTCATTTTCAAACTTTTAGATGCGGATGCACACAACTGAAAATTAGAAAAGAAAATAATACAAGAAATCAATTTTTAAAAAATGATTGACTGATTTATTCAGTGCAGAGGGTTAAATGTGAGAGTAGAATCGGTTGTGATTGTCAGAGAGGTGTCGAGCACAGAAACCTGAGGATTAGCATTTCTCACTTTGTCACTGTCACACAGAAGAGCTTCTCTTAATTCAGAAATCAAGGGTGCGACTTTATGTACAACTGAAGATACAACTGAGCATATCTGAAGGGTCTTTGCATTCTTTAGAGCAGGGGTGGGCAACTCTGGGCCTCGAGAGCCGCTGTACTGCAGGTTTTAGAGGTTTCCCAGCTTCTGCACACCTGATTCAGATTAAATTGATCTCTTCTAAAGGCGCTTCAGCTCTGAACAGGACTGCTAATGTTGTGTTGATGTGAATCAGGTGTGTAGAAGGAGGGAAACCTCTAAATCCTGCAGGACAGTGGCTCTTGAGGCCTTGAGTTTCCCACCCCTGCTTTAGAGGTAAAACAATAAAAAAAGACTTTTCAATCAAAACATCCTAACTTGTAAAACCTCAGTCTATAATTAAGTCATTCCTCAGACTTCTATTCATATGCTCCATTGTGGGTCTGTTCTTGTGTGTTCTTTGTCTGGAGACAGTATCCAGCAAACTACCAGAAATGGCCCAGCGGAGGAGGACCCACTCAAGCTGGTATTTTCATGAACGTCGATTTGGTTTCAAATATCAAAGCTTCACATAACAGAAGTACCAACAAAGCTAAGAGAGGTAAGCGAACTGGTCCTGTAGGCCAGCAGTTCCTCATCCACAGACTGTGCCTGTCACCAAGAAGACAACAACTGCTATGGAGACACATATAAACCCCCTGGATGCTTGCAGGTCAGCAGGGAGACTCAGTAGTGAGCTGTGGACCTTCTATTATACTCTTATGTTTACATGCACAAGAACTCCTGACCATAAGATTGCGTCCACAGGGCAACAATGGCTTAGACCAATGCTAAGACCTCTGGGCTAAAGCAGAGATATAGCCTTCTTTTGTCTGTTTTGAAGCCCCAGATCTCTCATAGTACACTGGGTTTGTTTTTCACTGTCAGCGTTCTTGTCAAACGTGCATAAACACTGATGGGCTGTATGTGTGGTCTCTGTGGACACACTCATTCTTTTCCGTTGAAGTCATAGACTGGCTGTAACTGAAGGTGCCTTTTCTTGGTAAGATAAGACGCCGTGCTATTTCCTGGACACACCTCAGCAGTTAATTAGTCCCAGCTCCTCTTAGCTTGATTTTTTTTTAGCCAGGACATTACAGACATTTTATGCTGGAGGTCTATTATTTTTATCACCTCAAATGAATGATTTGTTTTGGATTTCTCTGAAACATTTAGAAACTATTCATAAGAATTGCAATTATAAATTCCTTTAACTATGATCAAAAAGTCCTTTAACAGTCTTCATGTTGACTATTCATTTATGGGTGACAAAACAAAACAAGTTTCCATCCGACAGTCCCCCTGTTTCTGAGAAGTGGGAGAGAAACAAACAGCAGCAGAGAAACCCGAATCATGAAAGGGTATAAACAGGAACAGAAACTGGTTAACCTGTTGAGCAGGTTTGATGACCCATCTTCAGCCACTTTAAATGTAAACAGATCTACTCTCACAGACAAACCCACACAGACAGAGTTGGGAAGTAATACCTCTAGCTGTTAGCCATTTTCAGATGTGAAATTAGGCTTCAGCTGGACTTTATTTAAGGTCCAATATTTCAAAGCTAATATCAAATGGAAGCCTCTGGGTACACAGTGAAGTGTAAGATATTGTGATGTGTTAAAGGAACATGAAATGTATATCAGACTTTGTGCACCCCCTGCTGTGTGCAACAATAACTACACACTGGAGGGAGTGGGGAACTTATCAAGTAATTCAAATGGAATTTTTTGTAAGCCTTTTGGGATTTTTAGTTTAGGCTCAAACATTTTATCTCTAGAGAGAGATTTAAAAGACAAGGGCCGAGTGGTTTGGTTTTTGGCTCAGCATAACTGTCTTGTTTGTCTCTGATGGGGTTTGGCAGTCTTGATACAGACTGGAGGGGGGGGGGGGTGCTGAGTAAGAGCAGCACTCAAATACAATATGTTGAACTTTTTCAGCTCTTTTCTTTTTCCTTTTCAAATGACAAACTGTCAGAATGTATTTATTTTCATTATACTTTTGAATATTTGTATGTACTCATTTGAGTGATATATTTCTTAGATTGTATAGCTTACTACATTAATGTAGTACATATGATTTAGCCTCTGTGTAAAACATACATACATCAGACAGCGTGTCTTTTGGAGAATACCTAATGAACATCTATAGTTAAGGTACTGAAGCCCCCAGGTAGAAATAAGTCATGTAGAAATCTCAAATCAGTTTTTAATTTAAGAAGATATAAAACATATACAATGACATGTCTTATAAGTGCCTAGGTTTAAGATAATATCATAAGTTTAAAAAAATGTTTCTCAGGACTGTCCATTCCATCTTTTTGAGCATTCACATCTGTGTGATTTCACGTATTTCTTTTCAAAGGATGTTTCCCCTTTATCTGATGGAGCAAAAGAGCTTTTGTGGCCGGAGTGAAGACTGACAGGTCTGAGAGAGGGGGTCAGGAATAGAAAAGAGATACGATTGTGAGAAACATTGATCGTAGTGTCTCGGGTTGAGTCTACTCTGCTGCAGACTGAATGTTGTCACATCAGGCAGCTGAGAACCTGAGAGTATATCGAAGACTGGCTTACAGAGTAAGGTTTTTTTCTTTCTTAAGATCCGAGGAGAAATCTTTAAAGCTAAAGATAAAAAAAGGTTAGTTTACAACACCTTACACCTCAGTTTCCAAGGCTCAGGTCAATATTTTCAGGCATTTTCATGAAAGCATTCTCTATGCAGGAGACAAACTCACCTGTTTTTCTGAAATGTATTTTCTATGAGATATGATTTGTTATTAAGAATTTAAACATGAACTTCCTGTAAAACGGAAATACAAAAAACGGCCAAAACGAGATAGTGATGCTGCACATCCAGATAGGAAACAGCTTTAAGACTGTCATGTAATTGTTTTTAAAAATGTTAACTCTTATCTAAGACTGTGTTGCCATTTTAAATTAGGAGTGGAAAACAAAAATTGACATCTTGACTTTTTACCTGTGTCGCATTAATGTGCAGTGATTATATGAGCTGCACCTGGATTTCATCCCAGAAATTATGGTGACATTTCTGAGAAAAAAAAGAGCCTCAGTAAACAAGGAAATCAAAAGCAGACACTAAACAACAACTATGGGGCATGGGGACCAGGGATATAAGAAATATTAATATATATTAAGAACTAGACAGTTTTAAAGACTTTGGTCTGTCCAATTAATGTAATATGTGGTATTTATTAATTACTGATGAGGTTTTTTTTCTTAATCTCATAGTTCACTCTAGTATTATTCTACTAATTCTACAAAAGCTAGCACTGGATGGTAGGTAGGCTAACCACTTTGGACACGTGGCTTTCTCACATCTGAAAATGATGTGCAGATCGAGTTTGCCTGCCTAAGAAAACCACTTTAATTAAATGAATGAAGGAGGGATTATGTATTATAAGTAGGAAACAAATGTTTTATTATGATATCAATACATTTAATATTTATACAGAGTAATAAAAATGCAGTCTTAGTAGCACAATGAGTTGTTTACGAGTATGACTTCTTATACTGTTCAGTATTTACCCTCAATTGCATGAGCAATTTGGACTTTGCAAAAAAAAAAGGATTGTTTCTAACAAATTAATTTACATATGAATAAATAAAAGCAGTACGTTGTAATGTATCACTGGTAAACAGTTTTCTTGAACAAACAGGACCTCCTGCAGAAGTAGATGTGTAAACTATCTACAGAGTGAGAAATGTCTGAGTGGCGACGCTAAAAAAGGCAGGTAGGTCAAACTCAACAACGTGGTTTCACAGTAAACAAAAGCATGAAACAGCAAATGCAAATTCAAGTAAAACAGGATTATGTTAAATAAAATCAACTGAAATTTTTCTCACCGTGTGACATGAGGGCTTTTACAGAATTCTGCTGTTAAATATAACAAGAGGAATATTATAGCTTCCAGACTACCGTTACTTCAGTCTGTAAAACACAAAGGCGAAATCATCACACGAGTCAGTGTGTGTGTGTGTGTGTGTGTGTGTGTGTGTCTTTTCATGTGGAAATGTACAAGAAAGGTAAACTATTCAAGACAAGACCATTGTTTGCAATTGATTATTCTATGTCTTTAAGGACAAATAATATACAGCCCTTAACTATGATAATATCTCTGAGTTGGACACAAAAAACAATATTAATGTTCTCACAACAACCAAATTTGGCAACAGCAGGCGGGACTATGAAATGCCGCCTAAATGTGCAAACCACGCCAATCTAAGCAACTGATTAGACTCCATGATTGTACCCTCGGCTCACCTCTCAGAAGCTAACACTTGACATTTAGGAAACAGCATCTGATTGGGGATGAAGTTCCCCTCACTCTGGATTCCTTTATTGCTCCGCAGATGATCTCACCGTTACAAAAAGCATTCAGCATAAGTAAAGAGTGATATACTGTTTTTTTTTTTTTTTCTACAAGCTGTGCGATATACATCAATGCTCATGCATTGTTGGTGATGAGTGATCTTTGTGCAACCCATGTGAAGCCTCTTCTGCCCCCCGTCGGCTCTTATGTGGTGCAGTCTGGAGACTCCCTTCTTACCCAAACCTGCTCTGTCTCTGTTAGATCTGGAGCCTCCGTGTTGTCAGTTATGGGGCTGCTCTTCTCCGTGTCGGACAGCTTCACATCATCCGG